TCTCCCCTAGGCGTGTTCACAGCAGTGGAGCCTAGCGATGTGCACCAGGCAGGCAGCTTGCAAGTGCACAGTGTGTTCATGGCAGTGGGGGGTCAGCCAGGTGGTCCACGCTGGTGTCTGGTACTCAAGGGCCACAGAGGCCTGGACTGGCTGCCAGTGCTGTTCCCGGGCTCCGGCTGGTGGGGACTGGTGGGTAAGAAGCAGAGAGGGGGAGGGATGCGGTTGGTTGGCATCAATGAATGTAAATCCATGTTGGGTGAAAGCTGGGAGATCTGCAGGGGCCCTCAGAGCTGTGCTGGCTCTTGGTTCTGTCCTCAGAGAAAGCCGTTGGGTTTATCCGTGGAGCAGGTCACTGTGAGCCGAGGTTGCTGTGGTGTGGCTGTTACAGGGAGCCCCTGCTTTTCCTCCTGGTTCCTGGCTCTCTCTCTGTCCCAGCCTTGTCAGTCTGGGTTGCTACTACAGTAGGTAGGTCCTTCATGCGGTGACTTAAGAGGCTGCAAAAGCTGGTCACTCCCCCCACTCTTCCCCAGCGAGGGAAACTTTCTAGCTGTGTAGTTCCCTTTTGCACTGAGCTGTGCCGGCTTGGGGGATGAGACGATGCAGGCAAACAAAGCTGTATTCTTTCTGTCTCTGTGCAGTTATCGCAGGCTATGTGTTCTGCAGTGCTGCTGAAGTTTCCTAATGGACAGCAGAGCTCTCCCGGAGCCGGTGTTGTCCATGGATAGCTGCCTAACTGCTGATCTTTGTTGCAGGGATGAAGGGAGGTTGGGCTCTCCTCTGTCACCATGTTGGCGATGTCACCTCCCTATTTCTCTGTATGCCTTATGATCTTTTACTGAAAATTGAGCATTAAAACAACTATCAAAAAGCAGCCACTGCTTTCAGGCTTTGCTGACTAGCCCCGGGACGGGAAGATAGCCTCTAACCAGCCAGTGCGGAGGGTTATCCTAATAGCCTGTGCCCACAGCTGCTTTTAAATATCTCAATTTCCCCGAGTCTCGTTCCTGCTGCTTCTCAGGGCCTCGGTGCTCTATTGTGTACTTTTGCCTGCCCTCTCTTGCCCCCAGGGGTTCATGGTCTGCAGTCCCTTGTGGTTGTTCACATGCCCAGGTACCTACCACTGTCACCCATGGCTTTCCACGTAAGGTCCACACTATGCTGCCATTCACACCAGAGCACTGGGTCAGGTGAGACAGAAACTAGTCCCCTGGCAGCCATCAGATAGGCTAGATTTGTGGTCGGCAAACTGCGGCTCGTGAGCCACATGAGGCTCTTTGGCCCCTTGAGTGTGGCTCTTCCACAAAATACCATGGCTTGGGCGAGTCTATTTTGAAGAAGTGGCATTAGAAGAAGTTTAAGTTTTAAAAAAAAATTGGCTCTCCAAAGAAATTTCAATCATTGTATTGTTGATATTTGGCTCTGTTGACTAATGAGTTTGCCGACAACTAGAGTGTTGCAAACATATTTTCCTTTTCCTTCCATCCAGTGGGAGGGAACCTGAAATTGGGTGCCTCTTTGCGACCCTGCCATATACCACACCAGAGAAGTGGGGAAACAAGGTGGAGTAAAAGCACCCCCAAATTTCCTGCCATTTCGTGTGTGGCTTTTTCTTGATTTGACGTTCACTTGGTGCTGCAAGTCCTTAACCAGCCAGAGCCACTCTGAGTCCATTGTGTTCACCTGTGCTTGTTTACTTGGCATTTCTTCGGGGAACCAGAGTCCCGAGCTTCCAATTCCACCATCTTGCTGACATCATTTGAGAAGTAAATTCTTGAGCACACAAACGATATTTTATAAAAACAGGTTTCATGCCAGTTAAAAAATTAGGTTTCAATAAATGTAAAAAAAAAAAAAGTATTATAGTCTTACAGAGACTTTTCTTGCTATCATTCAGTGAAGGTCAGACTTGATCATATAAAGAAGCTGTTGCAAATTTCAAATCTCACAACCATATATCTTAGGCAAAAAAGGAATTAAACTTTAAGAATGAAAGTGGTGTAAAGGCATTTCAATTAAAAAACAAAACAAAAGAGATAAAAATTTAAAGTACTTGGAATTTAATCACCCACTACCACAACAAAGGACTCTGCCTATAAAAACTCTGGATTATAGCTGAAATGGGATTTGGAGGGAAAGGAATGGTCTTAAATGACAATATTAGAAAATTAATGAGCCAAGCAACACCATCTCCAATATGTTAAACAAAGCCTGTTACACTATAGCCACACAAATAGTTGTTGAATGAATTTAACTTAAAAAATTAGAGAAGAATACAGAATAAACCTGAAGAAAATAAAAAAGAATAAAATAGATATATTGAATAGAAAATAAAGATACAATAGAATGAGTCAACATAGTCAAAAGTTGGTTCTTTCAAAAGTCTAATTTCACAGACAAACCTATGTGAAATGTGGCAGGCAAATTATATATTGCATATCCTGGTGCCTATTGTTTGCTGCGAGGCTGAATGAAAATGAGAGCCAGCATTTACCTTTGAGTGTTTGTTTAAAGGCCCAAATTCAAATGCTCATGTGCTCAAGCTCCTGTTTACCATTCTCCTATGGATGAGGAGTAGTAGGATTCCAAAGCCATGTTAGTCTTGCTTGGATTCCCTCCCAGGTGGGTCTGACTCAATAGGAGAGACGAAGTAGGAATCAGTCATGAGAACCACACGTAGATACATCCAGGGGTTTGTTCAGTGAAGCATTTGGAAGTGGGGATTGAGAACTTCACAGTCCCAGATCCATTTTGTTGGTCTTTTACATTGTCCTCTGAATGTCATGTAGCAAAATCATTGTTCTCAACCCACCTCAGAAGGCTACTGTAGCTGAATATTGGACTGAGACTCACTTTAGTGGTTGGCTGGTGATTTGTGGCCAGCAAAGAAACATGCCACACTTCCTCACAGCTCACTATCAGGACTTCTGATTACTCAGTATTGTACCAAACCAATACTTCTAGCTTCTTTCATCATGATTTGGAATCTGGAACAATCAGCTGTCATTTCTAATCTATTCTACTTTCCTGGGCATGCTTTCTAAATCCCCTAACAATATTCATTCATTCATCTAACAAGTATTTATTGCACATCTGCTCTCTGCCATGGATATAATAAATACACTACCTTCCTTGTTTGAAAGAAATATCTTTAATGAAGTTGCTTCCTGCCTCTGACTTGCATGATCCATGTTCAGCCATATTTTTGCTCTGGGCTTTTAAGTGATACCTGCATTTGTAGTTCTGACCACTGTTTTTGCATGCTAGCCAACTAATATTGCTGGTTACATTTCCTCCCTGGGAGCCCAAAGGTTTCCAAGCAAAACAGAGCCTGGAATCCAAAATATATACACAAATGTGTGCCAAGTATGGCAGGAAACACAGAGTAAACTGCAGCAGAGCTCATCAAACTAGGCAGCCCAGGAAGACAGCTGGGAAATGGGGCAGGATGACAGGCTTGTCTGGGCAGAAGCGCCAACACAGCCCCCTTGTGTTGGAGCCTGAGCTTCCACAGAGGTCGCTGACATGAACCAGAGGACGGATCTCATGTGCATGGAGAGTGGAAAGGATATATTGGTCTTTTCTGATATCTTCACACTTGAAGTTTCATTGTCTAAATCAAATGCGAATGCCATAGTTGGCTCTTGTTAAAGTATTTATTATTATGAAGCAGTGGTTCTCCTAGTTTTTCTGGTTAGCAGCCCTCCCTTTATACTCTTAAAGTACTGAGAACTCTAAAATCACTTGCATTTGTGCGAATAATATCTATTAACATTTAGTTTAATAGAAACTAAAAATGAGATACTAAATTTTTACTTGTTAATTTAAAATAACAACAGTAAATCTATTGCAAGTGAAACAAAATGTTTTAAAGAAGAAAAAAACTGTCCTTTTCAAAATTTTAGAAGAGTACATTGTTTTTTCGTTTGCTGTGTGTGTGTGTGTGTGTGTGTGTGTGTGTGTGTGTGTGTGTTTAAATGCCTGGCTTAATAGAAAACAGCTGGATGCTGACAACTGCTTCTGTGTACAATCTGTGGCCCATTTCAATGTTATGTAGCTTCTGCAAACTTCACTGTATACTTGTAAGGGAAAGTAAGTGAAAAAGGCAAACAATGTCTTCATGTTATTATTATGAAAATACTTTTGCCTTTGTGGATATCCTGTAAGGGCCTCAGACCCTCAGAACCTAGATCACACTTTGACAACAGCTATTCTAGAATTCCATCGCTGACAAAGTGTTTTCAATATATCTCAATATGTCTTGGAATTTTCCACTCAGGTTGTAAAAGTAGGGGTCCAGATGAAGCAGCTCACCATAGCATTCAATTTTATATTGTTACTTTACTTTTTAAACGTTTATAAAATTTCAGTTTTATATCACACACGAGTGAAGTCATTGTGGTTCTTAGTTTCTTTGGCTGACTTATGTCACCTAGCGTAAAATTCTCAAGGTCCATTCATATTTTCATAAATGGCAGTATTTCATCTTTTCTTACGGCTGAGTAGTATTCATTGAATAGAAATTCATGTAAGAGTAGGCCTTTCTTCTCCTGGCTGCTGGCACCAGCTTCCCTCTGGTACCTGGGACTCAGGCTTCCTTTGCAGCCCCAGCTTCATCCAAAAGGTTGTCCAGAAAGAAGTCCAGCCTAATTAGCATATTATGCTTTTATTATTATAGATATGCACCACATCTTCTTTATCCAATCATCTATTGAAGAACACTTCAGTTGTTTCCATGGTCACTGTGAATAGTGCTGGGATGAGCCTAGGGGTGCATTTGTTTTTGTGAATACATGTTTTCAAGGTGTTTTTTTGTTTGTTTTGTTTTGTTTTGGCTAGATTCACAGGGGAGGGATTGCTGAGTCATATGGTAACTCTTTAATTTTTTTTTAGGAATTGTCCGACTGTTTTCCATATGGCTGATAATAGCCATTCTAACAGGTGTGAAGTGGTATCTCATTGTAGTTTTAATTTGCAATTCCCTAATAGCTAGTGAAGTTAAACATCTTTTCCTATAACTGTTGGCTGTTTGTATGCTTTCTTGGGAGAGGTATTTGTTCAGGTCCTCTGCCCATTTTTAAAAATTTTATCTTTATTGTTGAAAGTATTATAGATGTTGCCAGGCCTTAACCACACTATTGTCTAAGTCTATGAATTATGAATATATGCATATAAGTTCTTTGGTTAATCTCTCTACACCCAACCCCATCCTTGCCTTCCCTCTGAGATTCTACAGTATGCTCCATGCTTCTATGTCTATTTCCTTCATCAGTTTATTTTGTGCATTAGATTCCACAAGTGAGGGAGATATGTGATACTTCTCTTTCTCTGACTGGCTTATTTTGCTTAGCACAGTGGTCAGCAAACTGCGGCTTGTGAGCCACATGCGGCTCTTTGGCCCATTTAGTGTGGCTCTTCCACAAAATACCATGGCCTGGGTGAGTATATTTTGAAGAAGTGATATGTTAGAAGAAGTTTAAAAAATTTGGCTCTCAAAAGAAATTTTAATCATTGTACTGTTGATATTTAGCTCTGTTGACTAATGGGTTTGCTGACCACTGGCTTAGCATAATACTTTCCAGTTCTCTCCATGCTGTCTCAAAGGGTAAGAGTTCCTTCTTTGTTAAAGCTGCATATATTTCATTGTGTATATGTGTCACTGCTTTTATCTACTCATCTGCTGATGGGCACTTGGGCTATTTCTAGATCTTAGCTATTGCAATTACTGCCATGAACATAGAGGTGCATATGTTTTTTTTCTGATTGGTGATTTGGGATTCTTAGGATACATTCTGAGTTGTGGGATCACTGGGTCAAATGGCATTCCACATTTAATTTTTTAGGAAACTCCATACTGTTTTCCATAATAGTTGCACAAGTCTGCATTCCCACCAGCAGTGTACTAGGGTTCCCTTTTCTCCACATCCTCGCCATTTTGTCATTTGTTGATTTGTTGATGGTAGCCATTCTTACAGGTGTGAGGGGATACCTCATTAGTCTTTTAATTTTCATCTCTCTGTTGATTGGTGACTCTGAATATCATTGTGTGTTTCTGAACATTTTCTCATATGTGTCTTGGCCATCTGTATGTCCACTTTGGAGAAGTATCTGTTTAGGTCCTTGGCCCATTTTTAAATTAGATTGTTTGGTGTTGAGTTTTATGAGTTTCTTATATATTTTTGGATATTAAACCTGTGTCAGAGCTGTTGTTTGCAAATAGCATCTTTGTACTGTTGATATTTATTGGCTGCCTTTTTGTTTTGTTGGTGTCTTTTGCTATGCAGAAGCTTTTTAGTTTGATATAGTCTGATTAATTTATTTTTGCCTTCCCTTGCCTTTGGGGTTAAATTCATAAAATGTCCTCTGCAACCAAGATCCATGAGTTTTCTCCTATGTAATTTATTGTTTCATATCTTATATTTAGGTCTTTGATCCATTTGAATTATTTTTTTGTACATGTGGGCAAAATATAATCTAGTTTCATTTTTTTGCAAGTGTCTTTTCAATTTTCTCAGCACCATTTGTCGAAGAGGCTTTCTTTTCTCCATTGTGCATTTAAGGCTCTTTTGTCAAAAATTTTCTGCCCATGTATATTTGTTTTTTTGTCTGAACTCTCAATTCTGTTCCATTGACCAGTATGTGTGTTTATGTGCCAATACTATGCTGTTTTGATTATCATAGCTCTGTAGTGTAATTTGAAGTCAGGTAGTGTGATACCTCTAGCTTCATTCTTTTCCCCCCCTTAATATTGCTTTAGCTGTGCAGGGTCTTTTGAAATTCCATATAAATCTGATGATTTTTTATTCTATTTCTTTAAAAAATGACATTGAGATTTTGATGGGGATTGTATTGACTCTGTGTATTGCTTCGTGTAATATGGCCATTTTAACTATGTTGATTCTTCCAATCCATGAACATGGAATATATTTCCATTTTGGTGTGTCTTTTTCAATCTCTTTTAATAATGCTTTGAAATTTTCAGTATATTGTTCTTTCTCATTCTTTGTTAAATTTATTCCTAGGCATTTCATTCTTTTGGTTGAAATTGCAAAAGAAATTTTAAAAATTTCTTTTTCCAAAATTTTGTTGTTAGTATATAGGAAAGCAGTAGATTTTTGTACATTGATTTTGTATCCTATAACTATACTATATTTGTTTATCATTTCTAATAGTTTTTTGTTGTTTTTGGTATGGAGTCTTCAGGATTTTTTATGTACAGCATCATATCCTCTGCAAATACTGATATTTTTATTTACTTCTATCTTCCCAATTTGGGTGCCTTTTATTGGGTGCCTCTCATCTGATTGCTCTGACTAGAACATCTAGAACTATCTACTAACAATAGAGGAATATGCAAATGGTGCAGGAAACTGTCACAGTAACAGTAATGACCAAACAGCAAGCTGTATGGGGCGACAAGGCAGGAGGGTTAGTGAAGGATGATCAAATGACTGAACAGCATGCTGCATGGGGTGACCAGCGGTGGGGAGTGGGGGTGGGGTGGGGATGAAGAGCAGTTGGGGGTGACCAGGCTGGTGGGGGGCAGTTGGGGGTGACCAGGCTGGTGGGGGGGGGCAGTTGGAGGTGATCAGGCTGGCAGGGGGCAGTTGAGGGGTAACCAGGCTGGGATTGGGGGGCAGTTAAGGGCAATCAGGCTGGTGTGGGGGGGGCAGTTAGGGGCAATCAGGCAGGCAGGCAGGTAAGCAGTTAGGAGCCAGTGGTCCCAGATTGTGAGAGGGATGTCTGACTGCCAGTTTAGGCCCGATCCCCTAAACTGGCAGTCGGACATCCCCCAAAGGGTCCCAGATTGGAGAGGGTGCAGACTGGGCTGAGAGTACCATCTCCCCGTGCACAAATTTCTTACACCGGGCCTCTAGTGTTAAATAAGAACAGTGAGAATGAACATCTGGTCTTGTTCTTGATTTTAGAGAAAAAGCAATATCATACTCAATATTGGCTGAGTGTGATATTGGCTGAGGGTTTGTCACATATGGCCTTTATTATGTTGAGATACTTCTATACCTATTTTATTGAGTGTTTTAATCATAAATTGATGTTGTATCTATCAAATGCTTTTTCTGCATCTAGTGATAAGATCATATGATTTTTTATCCTCTCTTTTGTTAATGTGGTGTATTATATTAATTGATTTGTGAATGTTGAACCATCCTTGTGCCCCTGGAATTAACACCACTTGATTGCAATATATTATTTTTTGATGTCCTATTGTATTCCATGTGCTAGTATTTTGTTTAGAATTATTGCATCTGTATTTATCAGAGATAATTGCTCTATAGTTTTCTATTTTTGTATTATCCTTGTCAGATTTTGATATCATGGTTACTTTGCTGCTTTCCTTTTTTTTTTTTTTTTTTTTTTTTAAGAGAGAAAGGTTTCAAATCTTCTTTGAATGTCTAGTAGAATTCACTGGTGAAGCCATCTCGTTTGGTCCTGGACTTTCATTTTGATAGTGGTTTCAATTTTCTCACTGCTGATTAGTCTATTTATTATAGTTTTCCCAGTTCTTCCTGATTTAGTCTATGTAAAGTATATATTTCTAGGTACTTATTCACTTCTTTTAAGTTATTGAATTTGGTGGCATATAGTCTTTCATATTATTCTAGCATGATTCTTTGTATATCTGTGATGTCAATGGTAACTTCTCTTTCATTTCTGATTTTTATTTTTTATTTTTATTTATTTATTTATTTTAGTATTTCTCTTTTTTTCTTAGCGAGTCTTACCAGGAGTTTGTCAAGTTTATTAATCTGTTCAAAGAACCAGATCTTTGTTGTATTCATTTTTTATAGTCTTTTTATTTTCCACTTCATTCAATGCTATAATTTTTATTATTTCCTTTCTCCTGCTGACTTTGGGTTACTTTTATTCTCCTTTTTCTAGTTTTTAAGATGTAATGTTGTTTATTGCAGGTTTCCCTTATTTTTTGAAATAGGCCTGTAATAATGAAGATTTCCCTCTTATTACTGCTATTGCATCCCTAAAGTTTTGATATGTTGTACTGTCATTCTCATTTGTTTCTATATATCTTTTGGTCTCATCTTTTATTTCTTCTTTGACCCAGTCATTTTTAGTAGTATGTTATTTAATCTCCACATATTTGTGGGCTCCTTTACTTCCTTTATGATGTTGATTTCTAAGTTCAAGGCACTGTGGTCACAGACTATGCTTGGTATAATTTCAATCTTCTTGAATTTGTTGAGGCTAGTGTTGTGACCCAACATATGGTCTATCCTTGAGAATGTCCCACGAGCACTGGAGAAGAGTGTGTGCTCTGATATTGTGGGATGAAAGGCTCTGTAAATATCAATTATTTTATATTAAAAATTCACTTAACATTCTACATGCAATTCCATAATATATATGTATTTTAATTTGGCTGTTTCTTCCCTAATAAACACTCACCTCCAAAGGACACCTTGTGTTTACCCTGTGGTTTCTCATACTTTGTGGCATGCTGAATCCCCTGTGAGACATTAAAGACCTCAAAATGACATTGAGTGGTGGAAACTATTTAGCCCCACTTTATGGATTAGAACACTAGAGCTTAGAGACGTTAATAACTTTGTGGAAATAAGCAAAGATCACCCAAGTGAGAACAAGCAGAGGCTGTTTATTCTGGGCTGGATGTAGCAAAAGACGCAGCCATCATCACGTGCATTTTGGCAGATACTTAAAGGCAGGCACAGGAGTGAGGAAGCTTTACAGTGAACAGGAAAGGCTTCATGTTGACCCTGATGGGAGGGTGTTGGCAAGGGGAAGCGGGACGGGGACTAACTAGAAGTGGGGAGTCCTATATGACAGTTTAGGGATGCATATTTGGTTTTCTCTGGTTGGTCCTAAGTTGGAAGCAGGGACAAAAATTAGGGACATTAAATCCATTGTTAATCAAGTCCCGGCCATTTGGAGCTGATTGTTTCAGGGCTTATTGTTTGCTTTCCTACACTGTCACCAGAGATAGGAATATGACTTCCTACAAGTGTGACTTACAGCAGGCTAGCTTCCCGGTCTGGTTATTGTGAAGGGTCGGTTTCCTGGGCAGATTGCTGTAGGTCGTGGGTCAGAGTTCTATTTTTATATATGGTCTGGACATTGTCTGTTGGTATATTCATTGTCTCAGCTTGCTAAAGGTTATGAGGCCCATCAGTGGCGAACCTAGGACTTAAACCACGATCCTCTTTTCTAAATCTTATTTGATTTCCTCTACTCCAAACTCCAGTAAAATAATCATCAGCATTGTCTTCCACCCAAATATTGCCCTCATTTTCCCCCTAGAGATTTTCTGCTATATTCTACACGTACTCTTTGACTCTAATTAAAACACTATACACTGTTGGCAAGGCCAACTATATTCTTGGGATACTTAGATAAATAGATTAAAATCCCCATTCTGTACCCAGGCAAAGTTTCTGTTCCTGTTTCTCTTCACTTACAATATGCAGGATGGTGGGGAGGGGTGGGAAGTACATTTGCCTCAGGCCATGGTTCACAGAATATAAAGATTTGAATTCCTGAGTTGGTGCCACTGGCCAGAGAGTTCCTAAGAAAATGGAGGGCTGAAGAAAAGAGATGTTTGTCACAGAATAGTCATACAGGCTGCATTGTGGGCTACAGCACCAAGCAGTGGTTTGTGAGGAGGATGCTGGTATGCTATTCCTCCTTCCTTCCTTCCTTCCTTCCTTCCTTCCTTCCTTCCTTCCTTCCTTCCTTCCTTCCTTCTTTCCATCCTTCCTTCCTTCCTTCCTTCCTTCCTTCCTTCCTTCCTTCCTTCCTTCCTTCCTTCCTTCCTTCCTTCCTTCCTCACTCCCTCCCTCCTTTCTTCTCTCTTTCTCTCTTTATTATTTGTAAATGTTTTATTGATTTCAGAGAGGAAGAGGTTAAAAAAATTAATGACAGAAAATCATTCATTAGCTGTCTCATTTATGCCCCCCACTGGGGATTGAGCCCCAAACCTGGGCATGGGCCCTGACTGGGCTTCGATCTCTGACCTCCTGGTTCATAGGTCAGTGCTCAACCTCTAAGCCACACTGGCCGGGCAGTGCTGTCCTTCTTACCTTTAGGTGTGGCAGCTGGTAGAATGCAGAGGAACAAATATTAAGAATTTAGGAGCCATGAATGAATTGGAATGTTAAACAGGACAAGGTTTGGAAAACGATACTGTGGTATTATCAGGGTTGATGACTGCAAAAGGTTGGAGCCCAGCAAAAGCCAGGGAGAGAGCTAGGAAACAAAAAGAGACCCATCCCCTTTGCAATGTGGAGTGCCACCCTCGAGGTTTGGGATTGCACAGTTCACAGTGACTGGGTGATGCAAAAGAATGTAATCTGGGAAAAGTTTTATTCAGGGCTTTCAGTGCAATCTCCAAATTACAACAAGGAAGGTAACGAAGTGATTTATCCTTGCAAAGGAATTCCCCCAAACCAGTGGTTGGCAAACTCATCAGTCAACAGAGCAGCAAACTGTTCCAAACAGATTACCTGTCTCATTATTACTGAAGGGGGAGCAGTGACACGATGGTTCTCTCTGGGCCCTAGTGAGGCTCCTGGGGTTGTATCTGACCCACCACCTCCACCAATGAAAAAGGCAATCGAGTCAACTTCCTGGCAACTGCTCCGTACATATATTTGCTTTTAAGAATTTTGGGGTACAACCCAAATGTAAACAGGTAGTTACAGTTCATAGCAGAAAGCAGGGACTTGGAACCTCCCACTACTTGCTGAATCTCTTGAGAGATTTGTGTTTTTTCCTGATTGCCTGTTTCCCTGGACTCCTTGAGCTGCCTCCCACCTTCCTGTTCTAGCCAGCCTTTAAGAAAGGGTTGATCTACAATTCTTGATTTTGAAGCTACAGCCCTGGGTTAGTGGACAGTGCTTGCTCCAAAAGACCCACAATGGTTGAAGGTAAAATTTGATGTGTCTATTCAGAAACAAAGTAGAGGAGAGGTCTAGTGGCAAGGCCAGCCCTTGAATTTCAGTGCCATCGACTCTGGCAGCTCATCCTGGATCCCAGAGCAGCAAACTTCTCCGTGGTTTCCTCAGAGTCTAATCACTCTGAGTCACCACAAGGGACACTGGAGAGAGAAGGTGGTGGTAGGGTATTTTGTAACCATTAATGTGATTATGATCCTGAATGCTACTTACATTAGAGTTCTCATGTGGGTTGGTTCTTAACTGCAAGAACAAGGTGTGGTCATGGCAAAGTGCCAGATGAGTGAATCAGAAATGAAGGGTCTCTTCATTCCAAGGATCCCATCCACCCCTTCCCCGGAATCTTGGGGGTCCCTTCCAATAAGTTAAAAGACAAAAATAAAATAAAAATCATTTCGGCATTTGCAAAAGATCCCATGTGCTAAACAGTTTAAGGAAACAAGGCAAAGGTCTAAAGGGCCATCTACTTTGTTTTCTGATAGGAAACGGAAATGCTGGTCTTTTAAAGAACATTTGCGAAATCACCTGCTTCAGAAGCAAAGGAAAACATCTCCCCAAATGAAGTGAAATAGTCACGGCCACAGGTGGTTATCCTCGGATCGCTTTCCCTCCAATTATTCTTTGATTTCTCTTGGGATGTGAAGGCTCCAGAATGGCTTTCCCTTGCCTCTGGAATGTTGCCAAGCAGCTTCCCTTCTGGAAACTGGTGTCACACTCCCCCTTGGCTCTGCAGGTGCCCAGGAACCTTCTGAACACCTCAGAGGAGTAAGTGTAGGCAGAAGGGCCATGAGTCTTCACCAGGAACAAAGATGAGATTCTTGCTGCCAGTTTTCCCTTCTGACGTCTTCATAGATTCTCCATTGCCTATTGAAGGCAAGACTTATGTTCGTAGTTTCAAGCCTGGTGGTCCAATCTACACTTCCAGAAGATTCTTCTGCTGTAGTTACCAGTCCTCCCTCCTCTTCAACCTCAAAATGACTCAGGGGCAGGAGTCAGCCAAAGTAAGATTCTCAGTGTCCTACCCACCCAGCACAGCAACCCCCTTCACCTTTATCAGACAGTAATGTGAAATAAACGGAGACCAACCGAATGAGAACCAAAGGCTATTTATTCTGACCTCCCTATAGCAATGGGAGTCAGCCACCATCTATTGCATTTCGACAGACTTAAGAGGTAGAAATAGAAACAGGAAGGCTTTATAAGGGTAACAGGGGAAGGTTTTAGGTGTGTCCTGGTAGGAGGGTGTTGACACGGGAAGCTGTGGGTGGGCTAACTAGACGCGGAGTGTCCTATGTAATTGTTTAAGGGTACATAGTTGGCTTTCCCTGGTTGCTCCTCAGTGAAAACTGGGATAAAAGTGAGAAAAGCTGTTAGTATTAGGCAAGCCCTGGCCATTTGGGGCTGATTGTTTCAGGAGTTGTTTGGTTTCGTGGACTGTCACTACAGATATAACAGGCTGACTTCCCGTCAGTCTGGCTGGCTTCCTGGTCTGATTATTGCAGATACGAGGCTGATTTCCTGGGCTGGTGGTTACAGGTGGTGGGCGGTATTGTTATGCATGGCCCGGCCATCGCCCTCCTGCACATTCAGTCTCCCAGTAACGAAGGGTGACAAGGAGGACGTGGGCCACGAGGCTTCGTGAAGGTGTCCGCTAACGAGAGGAGCAGGAGAAAGAAGTTTGCGTTCTCCTTGCTTGTGGCCTCTTGGCCACAGCTGGTCGGGAAACTGGGGTACTTGATGCCCCCAATGCACACTCCTGGGGCCTCTGGGCATGGAGTGGGCTAGGGTGAGGGCAGGACTCTGGTTTCCTGCACAGCCTTCTGTACAGCTTGGGGCTGTTGTTTTTCTAACATGCTGCATTTCTTTTGTAATCATGTACTCCTTTTATAATCATTTTTTAAAAAGCTACTTAAAACTTATCTATAAAAAAAATAATGTTAGCAGTGAGATAATGTGTAAATAAACATCAAACATGGAACGGGGGGTGGGGAGGGCAAATAAAGACCAATTACAGTAGTCCCCCCTTTTCCTCAGGGGATAGATGCCAAGACCCCCACCGAGTACTTGAAACCTTCAATTAGTACTGAATTCTATACACACATACTATGATTTTAGTACCAAACCCTATATATATCCTATATATTTTTTTCCTATACATACATATATATGGTAAGGTTTAATTTATGAATCAGGCACAGCAAGAGATGAACAACAATAACAAATAATCAAATAGAACAATTATAACAATACTAGAGGCCCAATGCACAGATTTGTGCATGGATTCATGCACAGGTGGGGTTCCTCAGCCTGGCCTGTGTCATCTCGCAATCTGGGATCCCTCTGGTGATATCAAGCCAAAATCAGCAGTCCAACATCCCCCAAGAGATGTAGCAGTGAATGAAGCAGCTGGGGGGGTGAGGGTGGGGGGAGGGGGCCTGAACTGGGGCCAGAGCTGCACGGCTCCTGCTTATTCCAGCCCTGCTGCAGCTGCTGCCACCATCACTCAGTAGTGCTGTTGTGGAGCCTCTCTGCTACAGCTGTGCTTGCCAGCTATGAGCCTGGCTTTTGGCTGAGCAGCGCTCCTACTGTGGGAGCGCACTGACCACCAGGGGGCAGTTCCTGTGTTGAGTGTCTACCCCCTGGTGGTTAGTGCATATCATGGCAACCAGCCAAGTGGTTGAACGGTTGTAACAGTCACTTAGGCTTTTATATATATATATAAATAGTGTAATCAATATTATGTGAATATGGTCTCTTTCTCTCTCAGCAAACAAGCATGGATTTCTTTTTCCTTTCCACAACTTCATGGTGTTCTTACCACAGATCTTAGCAACCTCGGCATATGACTTTTTCTTCCCATATTGTGGCCTTTCACCTTCCACTTAACACGTTAAACGCCATGTCAGTCACCGGTGACTGACACTATACTTTCCATGCGGACCTCATCAGTCACTGGTGCAACCAGCATATTGGTGAAATCGGATATTGCGGGCTAACAGAAAGGAAGAAAAAACAGGCTTGGCACTTAACATGTTAAAAAAAAAAAAAAAAGCACTGTAAGGTTTGGCATATCTGAATTATCAGCACCACTACTATTGGGCTTTGGGGCCATTATTGAGTAAAATAAGGGTCCCTTGAACACAAGCCCTGTGACACCTCGCCAGTCCATCTGCTTTGTGACTAATGGGCAGGTGGCATACACAGAGTGGATGTGCTGGATAAAGAAATTGATCATCAGGTAGGGTAATATTTCATCACATTACTCACAATGGCACACAATTTAAGTCTTACAAATTCTTTATTTGGGGCATTTTCCATTTAATATTTTCAGACCTGTTAACAGGGGGGAAAAAAAAGTTGGAAAGTAAAACTGTGGATAAGGGGGAACTACTGTATTTTAGATCTCATCATTCCCCCCACCAAAATGAAAAGGGGGTACTGTGCTTAAGAAATGAACTTCTACCCTGTTTCCCCGAAAATAAGACAGTGTCTTATATTAATTTTTTCTCCCAAAGTTGCGCTAGGTCTTATTTTCAGGGGATGTCTTATCTTTCCATGCACTAGGTCTTATTTTCGGAGGATGTCTTATTTTCGGGGTAACACGGTAGTTGCCTTCTCCTGGACTTATAATGTTATTTTTCCTTTCAAGCATTATTAGTCCAGTCCCTAAGGTGTTATTTAGGAATCAGAAAAAACTTCTTCCTGTTTGTTCAGTTATGTCCTATATTAGTTTGATTGGAAGCCTAATGAAAATTAAGCTGGTCAAAAAAAAAAAAAAATCAAAGGGTGAAATGAGTTAAAATCTAGATTTTATATTGTTCAGAAGCAAAAATAGAAACAGGAAGTGCAGGATTAAAACAAAACAAAACAAAACATATTGATTTTTATAATGAGATTAACTTTTATGTCCTATATCCTCCATAATTTCCCCTTTCTGCACCCAGGGACATTTTACATTCAAACAGAACCTATTGAGACTCAGGGACACTTGCCCTCCATGGGCGACATTGCCCCTACCATCAGGGTTGGTGATCAGAAGCTGTCGGTCTGCATTTAGAGCAAGCACTTCCCTCTCCCGCAGGTGCAGTGGGACACTGGCCCACCTGGCGAGGCGAGAGGTGGGCTGGTTTGCAGCTCCCACTTGGTCTCCAGGCTTGGTGCCCTGTGCAGGGTTCCAGCCCAACAACTGTATGCAGTAGCTCTGCCTGAATCTCCACCCACAACTTATTCCAGAAAAACCATGCTTCAAAGTGCAGACTATGAAATTTTTTTTTAGATATCTCTACATATAAAAGCCAAGCGACCGGAATGACATGATAACTGGAACTGGAATGACCAGTCCCTATGACATACACTGCAGTGGCCAACTGGCCTGATAGGGACTGATCGGCCCCCTGCAAATTCCTGTGGCCCCTCCCCTGAGCTGGCCCTGGCCCCACCCCCGATTGGCACCTCCATTATCAGGGGGTGGAACTGGCGAGCCGACCTCCCGCAGCCTGCCCCTCGGGCTGGTCCAGCCCAGCCTAGCCCTAATTGACTCCCATTGAAGCAGGCTGGCTGGACCCCACCCATGCACAAATTCGTGCACGGAGTCTGTAAGTAATCTAAATAAAAGTGCACATTTGTTATCTGAGTGATAATTAGTATGCAGCAGGTATATCTGCTCTTTTTTAAAAAAAACATTAAGACAATTAAATGAGTAGACCACAGTACTGTTTTAACAATAATTTTATTAAAATGTTCATAATTATAAAAGAATATTAAAATGCACAGAAATCACAAAAGATTACAAACTTTACATCTTATGCCACGGTGTATGAAGAGCATTACGAATATTTCCGTTCTACTCTAATTAAGCTACTCAGTTTAAATTTTTAAACATCTTAAAATATAACACAAACATGACAAATGTTATAAGAAGTGTTTCAATAACAGAGCACATTCTGCCCCCCTATTGTGAAATCATGTTTTTTGAAATTCAAGTTGTGTGCGCAATTCAAAGGGAAGACTTTGGTGGCAGCTTATAAGATGGCCTTAATTTTTCAACACAAACGGTAGCTTTCCCCTTCTCTCTACCAACATAACTAAAACACCGGAGGGATAGTTAAAGAAAACTCCCCTAAGTATTTTGGTCAGATGCTTCACTCTATTAAAATTCACAGGCATCACAAAAGGGTAGGACATGAACATTTCTCTAGTGGTTAATGCTGGGCAGCTCTAGGGCTGGAGTTTCCCCCTCACCGGCCCCCTGCCACACCCACTCATCTTCCCGGGGCTCTGTCCCTGCACACGCTCAGACCCGGCCACGATGGCTGCAGACGGAGCCCCCCATTTTTCTTCACCATTGAAAGCCAGCACTAGGCGTACATTGCCAGTGCTGGTGTCCTGGGCGACCCTGGGCACCCACTACCATGGAGCTGCTTGGGCAATGTTGGCAGTGTCATAGGTCACATCGGCAGCCTTAAAGAGTGTGGAGGTTTTATGCCCCCCTGTCCAAGGAGGCGTATTTTAGACCATGAAGACAATGTATGAAAGGCGGCTTATGGAAACATAAATGCATAATCCTTTAGACGTTTTATATACGAGGAGATAAGGCAAGAGCGTTTCCTTTCCATGCTTCCATACACAGTGAGTAACTGCCACATCCAACACGAGGAGGGAGCCATACAGTTGAGGGAGGAGAAGAGGTAATCCGAGAGGAAGCACCCCGCTCCCAGGAGCAGAATCGCAGGGAGAGCGGCCGGGGGCAGTGGCACTAGGCGGTGTGGGATGCGAAAGCGTTCCCTGGGCAGAAATTCCTTTCTCTGATCACATCAGCAGCCTTATCCAGACAGTTAGTGAAATCTTGTCCCTGGTCCATTGGGACGATGCAAAAGTCCAGAGACTGCTTTAAGGAATCCTACATAAATACTGCTTTTTGAAAAATCTTTTTAACATGCATGGCAGGTATTTAGAATGGTGACCTGGAGTTCAACTCCCCTCTGGTACCAAGCCTCTAAACACTGAAACGTGGTTCCTTTTCCTTTGCTGCTGGGATTCCAAGCGGCTTGGCTCCCGTGGCACCTGGGCGTTTGGCAGCACCCCGGTGGGTGGCGGCCCATCTAGCGAGGACCCGGTGCTGGCCGCCTTCTCCCGCACTCATCGCTCCCGTTACCAGTCCATAGCGAGGAGTGTGGGCTCTGTCTCTTCCCGAGTTCCCCAGAGGGCCTAGCACCTGGGAGGCAGGAAAGCGCCGTAAAGACCGTTTGGCTGCACACATCATGGGCAAGATGGGCGCGGGGCGGGCATTCAGCAGGGAGGGACAGCCAGCCAGCGGAGGGCAGGGCTTGTGAATGAACCTACATGCCCGACTGGCCTTAAGGAGGCTGGAGGTACAAACCAAACCCAGACAGACCCTTTCTGGGTTGGGAATAACCTGGGCTTACTCCCGTCTTCCTCCCCCGCCCCCCACAAATGCCCCCATCCTGGTACAAACATGCAATGACACACAAGTTACTGAGTTGGGGGCAGGAGGATGGAGGGTGCAGGGAGCAACCGAGGGCAGAGGCTTCGGTATGCTGATCCCGTGGACACGCGGGATCCTTTCTGAAAGGTGCTGCCCACACAGGGACACGGTGGCTCACCGTCGGGGCACTTGGTGTTCTGGGAACCACGCTCGGCATCATCACACCACAGTGGCCATGCAGGGGGCCATTCGGGATGGCACTTGTGATCTGTAACACTGCGCGCCCCGTGGCTCGTGAATAAAGGGCATCTTTGGGAAATTGATGGGCTTATCATTTCCAGACCATGACGTTGACAGAAATGTAATTTTAATTCCTTGATTCCTTTGTGTGTGTTTTTTTTTTTTTTTTTACAAGAAACTACACATCTTTCGAAGAGGTAATTTTAATTCCTGATTCTTTCCCCTCCCCATTCCCTTCAAGAAACTATACATCTTTAGGAAAGGTAAATTAATTATCCTGATCAATAGGAATGAAATTCTGTTTGAATCTGTAACCTTCCCCACTGTTGTCACCTTACTCCCTTTGAGCTGCAAAGCAGTCAACATGGATTAGGCACAGAACATTCTGGGACGGCTGCTGGGAGAGAAGAGGCGTCGCTGTGGGTTGTTAGCACAAGCACCCTGCAGAACCCCGCTGTCTTCCTTCCGGGGCATGAAGCGCATCCTGTGAGGTGGACAGATAGCCACCAGGAAGGCTGAAACTACTTCCTGGTCACTGAGGTTTCCTTGTCTGTAGGGCTGTGATCATTCTCCTAAATGTCGGGAATCCTTGAGTCTATCTGCCACTTCATACGGCGTTCAGGCCGAACTCCGAGTCAGCGATTTTCAGCCACACAGAAGCTGGCGTGTCTCGTCTCCAAGGATGGCACTGTGAGGTGACTGGCACAGGTCTGGCAAAGTGAAGCAGCGAAACACTCCCTAAAAACCATCAAACAGAGGGAAACACAAGTCCATCCTGCTGCAGACGGGGCACTTTTTAAGCATCTTCATCAGAGGTTCATAGTCTTCTTTTTTTTTTTTTTTGACAAGGCAAAATTCTTTAAAGTGCTTCTTAGAACATAAAGCTCTTATTCTAATTTGGGTCGTAAATGGTTATCTGCTGCTCCCATGATGGTCTCAGCTATGACCCCCATGTTTTTGGTCATGTCTTTGAGGTGATTCTCATGAAGAAGCTTTTGGGTTAGGTATTTTTCTCTCTTGATCTTGCTCTTCGTGCTTTTCGATACATCTGGAATTGCGTATGACAGAAAGAATTTCACAGAGTAGATGACATGCTGAAGGAGAGAAAAAGAAACAGGTCAACCACAAAGACTTGGAGGGAAATGCTCCTTTCATTTACTTTTGTGGGTCATAATGGCAGTGCATCTGGATGAGGGGGTGGGCACTGCACAGATACGTCCCGGCTCCCTGCTGTTACTTATCCTAGGAATACAATTTGGTAGAAGAGAACAGATCTAATATCTACAATACTCAGCACAGCACCGATAATTCTGTACATTGCTAGTGTGTGTCCCTTTTCTATCTTGTTCCCAAGCCTCTTCCCCAAAAATAAAATGTATAAATTTTTCTTTTACTTAAAAAAAGTTTAACAAAATATGTATACATCCCAAAATAATATATTGTTTGATCTTGCTTGATGTGAGTCTTGCTTTATAAAACTCATGATATTGTATACAGTGTTTTTAAATTGCTTTAAATGATAGTTTTGCTGGGTAGAGAAATGTTGGTTGTAGGTCCTTGCTTTTCATCACTTTGAATATTTCATGGCATCTCTGTGGCCTGCAAAGTTTCTGTTGCAAAATCATTTCACAGTTTTATGGTAGCTTCTTCTGGGTAACTAGCTGCTTTTCTCTTGCTGCTTTTAAGATACTCTCTTTGTCTTTAACCTTTGTCATTATGTGGCTTGGTGTTGGCCTCTTTGGGTTCACCTCATTGGGGACTCTGTGCTGGAGAGGAAAGTCCAGGAAATTCAAGATGAGAATGCTTAAAAGCGTCCCTATTTCCTTCGCCAAGCTAGGGAAGTTTTCTGTCATTATTACTTCAAATAAGTTTTCAATTTCTTGCTCTCTCGTGCCTTCTGATACCCCCATAATGTGAATGTTGGCATGCTTGATGTTGTCCCAGAGGCTCTTTACACTATCCTCATTTTTTTGCGATTCTTTTTGCTATTCTGATTGGGTGTTTTCTGCCACCTTATCTTCCAAACTGCTGATTCAATCTTCTGCTTTATGTAATCTACTTTTGATTCCCTCTAATACAATAATTCCCAACATAGGGCACAGGCCCAACAAGGGAGGGGAGCAATTTTTTAAGGGGAGCAATTCGAGAATGAGCAATTAACAGTGAATTTTTTGCATTTCTTTTGGTTCTAGGGGCCTCTTATACAGTATATAAGTATATGTTGTGACATATTTATGCATTTCAGTTCCCTATGTTTTGAAACTTTGCTATTTTTTCATATTATTTCATATTATTTTTTCAAACAATTTCTTAGTGATTTCTTCCTCAGTATTTCAACTGTCCTTTTGTTCTTTTTCTCTTTCAGGGATGCCATGTTCTTTGGAAGCTTGTTTAGACCAGGTTAATGGCCTTTTAGGCTTCTTCCACGTGAATAGGAGTTCACTTTTTGAATAAGAATTATATGTCACTGGGGGGAAGGGGCATCAGGATTTTAGAGATGCTTAGGTGGGGCATGGCAAAAAAAAAAAAAAAAAAAAGGGTTGGGAACCACTGCTCTTAATATATTCTTAATTTCTGTGTGTGTGTGTGTGTGTGTGTGTATGTGTGTGTGTAGTTTTTATGTCCTATTTAATCCTGTTGAAGTTCTAAGTTCCTCGAGGATCCTTGTAACCATTGTTTTGAACTCTGTATTAGATAGAATGCCTGCCTCCATTTCATTTAGTTATATTTCTGGAGATTTCTCCTATTACTTGGGGCATGGTCTCCCCGTTTTGGCTGACTCCCTGTGTTTCTATGTTTTGGGTGGAGCTGTTACATCTCAGGGTCTTGGAAGAGTGGCCTTAGGTAGTTGTTGTTCCATGGGGCCCAGTGGCAAAGTCTCCCTTGTCACCTGACCCAAGGGCTTCAGGTGTGTTCCTTGTGGGGTTTTGTGTACCCTCCAGTTGTATTTGAGCCTTGATTGCTGTTTGGAGGGACTAACCCTCAGGCTAACTGGTTGTAAGGACTGGTTGTGACTACAGTGGATGAGCTGTTGCGTGCGGGCTGATCCTCCGTACCAGGATTTGCTTTTGTGGGCTTCTGGTGCTTACTGAGGGTCACTTAGCAAGAGGTGTGGGGCACATTGAGGCCAGATGTTGCTTGTTTGGGGCCTGTGAAACTTTGAGAGATTTCAGAAAAGTCTGTAGCATAAACAATGGCTTCTGTTTACACTTCTGTTAGGAGAAAGCAGTCCTCTAGCTCTTGCCTTGATGCCAGATAATTCAGTTCCTCCAGGTATGTCCCCTGATTCCTTTTGAGCTCCTGTCCCCGCACTGGATCTCAAAGCAAGTGAATCCAAATAAGCCTGTGCACTGTATCTTTAAAGACTACTGAGTCTGCAATTTGTGGAGGTGATTGGGTGGTGCTCTGGTGTGGTCTGAAGCTGCCCACAGGGTATGTTGCTTCTGAAGGATTTTGGGGGTGCAGGCCAAGGTCAGCTGCTGCCTATGCCCTGCCTGAGGCTACCTGCTATGAGCAATAAAGTGATTGGTTGATGGTTGCCACTTGTTCTGGGCTTGGAGGTGTCTGGAAGAGGCTAAACTCTGAACTGAAGCCTTGTGCCTCTAGTGCACATGTGTCAAACACAAGGCCCGCGGGCCAAATCCGTCCCGCCAGGCCTTGCAATGTGGCCCACACCGCGCTGTCATCACTGCACTCCGCTGCGTTTCCATCACAATGACAGTTTATGACTGTTCAGTAAACCATTCGGCCCGCGATTTAGGCTGGATTTTAGATTTTGGCCCCTTCTCTGATTGAGTTCGACACCCCTACTCTAGTGCTATTTTTAGGGTCACTTAGCAAGAGGTGTGGGGCACATTGAGGCCAGATGTTGCTTGTTTGGGGTCTGTGAAACTTTGAGAGATTTTAGAAAAGTCTGTAGCATAAACCCAGGCAGGCTTTGTATGGGAAAGCCACTGAACTCAGCTTGGGGGACCAGAAACTTGGGTGGGGCGAGGTTTCAGGGAATTACCAGGGCAGGGAGAACTGTATTAGCCAGGTTGCAGGAAACTCAGGTATGGCATCAGTCTGCACCTGAGGGGGAGCACTCAGCAAAGGAACAATGGCTTCTATTAGGAGAAAGCAGCCCTCTAGCTCTTGCCTTGATGCTAGATAATTCAGTTCCTCCAGGTATGTCCCCTGATTCCTTTTGAGCTCCTGTCCCAGCACTGGATCTCAAAGCAAGTGAATCCAAATAAGCCTGTGCACTGTATCTTTAAAGAGAAATGCCAGGGACCCTAACAGCCCTCCATCTCACTCAGCCACAACCTCTGCTGATTTTCACAGCCAGAATTTATGGGGACTTATCTTCCGGGCCCTGAAACCCCTGCCAGGGGCGTTGAAACCCTTCATTCCTCCAGGGGAGACTTCAGCTGCTCCTACCAATCCTGAGGCAATTTCTTCTCAATATCCTTAGTGATAGAATTTCTGTTCAGCTGGGCTTCACGTGGTCCTCAGTGATGGCTGTTCTATAGTTTAGTTGTAATTCTGAAGTGGTCATGGGAGGAGGCGATTATAGCATTTACCTAAGCCACCATGTTGACTGGAAGCCTGTTGACCAATGTAAGCTCATCTTGATTATTTCAATTTGAGAAAAACCTGGGATCTAAATTGAAAAAAATCACTTTTTTATAGAGAAGATATACATTTCTTGAATCTAAGAGTCACAAGCTCAGCTCTTCCACCTGCTCTGACCACAGTCGTGGCCTCCTTGAGATTTTTGATGGAGACACTGATAATTGCACTGGTTCTCAGAGCATTCCTGAACTTCAGTTCAGGGGTACTCGCTGCTCAATACTTTATTTTAGCCCCATCACCTTTTCTTCTTTCCTCTTGCAGATTCTCCTCCCTTCTTGTGAGCTCAAAGAAAAGGAAACTATGTTTTAAGATCATTCTAAATATTTTGTAGTGAGATGGCTCCTCACAGTCACTATAATAGTATATCATGAGATCAAAAGTAGAAGTCTAAACACTTTGGTAATGACATACTTGAATATAAACTAGGAACTCTTGCTGTATACCAGATACAGTACTTCTAGAACCCACTTATAATGAGCTAACAAGGAATTATTTTCTTCTTCTATTATTATTTGGTAACTATTAAAAAATACTAGAAAAATGATCAAAGCCAGGTACCCAATCCCACTTCACTCTTGCTAACAAATTATGGTTTTATTCAGAGCAAACCAAATACCTCCTGTCTCAGCATTCTTTGCTGTGAGGCGGAATCCTTCGTTATAAATCTAGCCAATGAGATTTGCATGGAAGTCTGCCCTGGGGGTTTTGGCAAAGTATTTTCTTGCCTGACAAAAAGGAACAGATATGGCTAGCATTGTCCCTCTCCTCCTTCTGACCCAGGATATACACCTATTACCTGGAATTGCAGTCATCATACTGCAACCATAAAGTGGCACGGAATGAGAGAAAACCTAGAAAATCAGAGCCATGCTCCTTGTGTCAGTGAGCTGGTATTGACTCAGGAGCAATCACCTACTTCCAGTGAAGTTTATGAGAGAAAAATCAACCCTTATTTGTTTAAGTCACTGCAGATGGATTTTCTATTTCTTGCAGCTAAATGTAATCCTAACTGACCACAGCAAGCAATTTCTGAGGCTCTGGAATTTGGTGGTAGCTGTTCACCCAGTGTAAAAAGTAAAGCTGACTAGATCAATTTAAAATGTATAGCTGCCTTAATGGTTTTTCAGAGCTGGTTAACTTTAAGAATATAAAGATATTATAAAAATGTTATAAGAAGGCATTTTATGAAAATTAATATATATAATAATACAAGTAAAGCTAGTAGATATAATAATACAAGTAAAACTATTATAGCAATAAGTTTCTCAAGGGCAGAGATCACATCTTATTTATTTTGAATAAGCTTCTGCTCAGCCTAACATGTGAGCTCCGTGCCCCACCCCCTACCAAAGACACCCCATACTGAACTGAAGAGAATTGAATCCTCTTGGAACACAACATACTTTTAACTTTTAGAGCAGATAAGCAACTTCATTTAATTAATATGAGCTTTATGGGTATTCTCAGGTCAAATTTGATTAATACATGTCCTAAAATAATTGTTAGCAAGCGATAAGAATGTATTGTACATTTTAAGTCAAGAGTCAGCAACACTTAAAGCTGATAAAAGGTATGCATATATATTGCCGTACAAATTATTTCCAAGTCTGTCTGCTTCCCTTACCTCCATGACAATGATGAAAGCCAGCTTGGCCGCGATCACGTGCCAATAGTAGATGTTGTGTTTATACTCCTGAGGGTGCCCGGGAGGGTACCGGAAATCACGATACCTGGAAACACAGAGGCGGCAGGTCAGGAGGTCATTCTTTTTGATCCAATGCTGTAAACAAAGGGCCCCTTTAGGAAGACGTCATATTTAAAACAACGCTTTTTTTTAAAGTTGGACATCACCTAAATATTCTCCAAGAGTTCAGTTTGGTAACAGAACCCTGAAATGCTCTTCCAGGGATATAGGAAAATGATGGAAACGACAGATCCCATCTTTGTAAAAGGAGAACGAAGGGGTTGTACATTTTCTCCCTAGTGTTTTATCCTTGCTTTCTTAAGACCATATCACTAAAAGAATTGAGTGCATTTTCTGAAATATATTTATAAATTTATTTATATAATGGTGCCATCAGGGTTCACTCAGCTACGGGGTTCTCCCCTCCTATTGAGAGTCCCGTCTGCTTGTTATAAGTGTCTTGCTCATTTCCTTGTGGTCAGATGCCACGTGCTACTGCTGTTAGTGACTCCCTTAAGTAGCACACTTCTTATTTTCTTCCTGTAACCTATTAGACCTAGAAGAGTTTAATTACTTTCTGGAATTATATAAAGGAGATTCAATGTGGAATTCTGAAGAAGCTCTACTACGTGTAAAATTGAAACATTTATTTGAGGCTTATTTCTGGTTTCTTGGTTGTGTTGTTGAGAATCCGAAGTGAAGAAGGCTTTGAGTAGAACTAAATAAATTTTAAATCCTCTTTAAGGTTTAAGTCACTGATTAAAGAAAAAAAAAAAATTACTCAATGACCTGTAGTCAACAGACTTTATCAAGGGGTAATTTAGTTCACATATACTATCCATAGCTGATCCCAACTGCCATTAAAATAAATGCAGAGCACTTTGGAATACCTTTAGAGAATATTGCTGGTTAGGTGGAGGTATTTGCATTTCTTCGTTAAATGAAGAGAGCTAGTTCGTCACCATTCAGTGTTGTCAGATTGTGCTTAATGACACATTAGTCATGACAAATGAATTACCTTGCTCTTTGGAACTCTTAAGTTTCTTCTTTCGAAAATATAAGGCTTTTCTTCGGGATCAGTCTCCCTGTAATCATTTGAAATTCTAACCTTTAAACCTTGCTTTATGATTGGAAACTCTCACCCTAGTCTGTATTAACTTTTATTTTTTATATCCTTTAAGTTTGAGAGAAAAGAAAGCCAGGAAAAGATATCTGTAGCTGTTTTACTTAAATTATACCAAATAGAATTGCCTTATAATAAAAGTCATATCTAAGATGAAATGCATTTTCAAACACATAAGCAAAACTTGCCTGCACGTGGTGTAGTTACCAAGCCCAATGTATGGATTTCCCTTGCTTCTGTTTTTGAAGTCTGCGATGTTGAAGATGGAGAGAGTATTGTTGATGTATCCCACCATGGTGAATTGGGTGTGGTCCCCATAGGGTGGGACAGAAAAGGACCAGTAATACACCAGGCGGGGGATCATGTCTGACGTGAAAGCAATAATCATGGCCTGTGTTGGGAGAAAAATGAGAGAGGGGCATTAATTTAGAGCCCTTTTAGGTATGGTTAACAAAGATGCCAGAATTATATTTTTATCAGTTGATTGTTTTTAAAATTAAAGATTCAGAAACCTTAATTCTTTCCTAACTATATCTGCAACAAGTGGGTATAGAGAGTGACTATCCTGAAGTCTTTGAGCAGTTGCTTTAAAGTAGAAAAGTTCCTTTCCTTTTGGTCTTCAATTCTAAAAAACGTCCAGAAGTCTTATTTATAGTTCAAAAGCAAGGCCTGTAGGTGCCTGAGATGTTTCTTAAGAACAGTAAGAATAATTGTGGATTCTGATATTGTGGATAAATCAAGAGCTGTTTGCACATATAATGTATGTGAATTGTTTTTTAAAAAATTAGAACAAAATTCAATCAACCTTGGAGCTCTATTCAATATAATCTAAATCTTTTATGATTTAGATGAGAAGGTGTAATACTGAGCTCAACATTCTAAAAATAAGTTGGCTCTATATAATTCTTTTGTAGTGTAAATAATACAAAACTGATTTTAAAATAGGAATGTAAGCTGCATAAAATACATTTTCCTTTATCTAAGTTAATGGCCTTTAAATTCATGCTTTTACTCTATAGTATCTAGACTTGTTCAGACAAGTCAGTCTGTAATCTGATTTATTTTAAACTGTCAGTATATTCTTATGGAAGATGCTTCATTAGAGAGCAACTATTTTTAAATTAATGTTATTAAAATGTAGAAAACAACAACAAAAAAACCCACTTCTTTTGGGCTGTTCCATTCACATAGTCAAGCATAGTCTGTTTTGTTAGATATAGTATCTAAGCCTCTAAACTTCCAAAATATTAAATGGATTCAAAGTTGTGAACATTATAAATTATTAACTAACCAAGTTTAGTGTGTTTCCAGATTAAAGGAAAAAGAATGGGGCAAAGTTAAACGTGGGTCTACACTAGGCAGATAGGTAGACATCTACTGAGAAGGAAAGCTACTATGAATTACATGAATTTTCTCAAAGTTTTTAATCCAAATTCTGTGTGACTAAACAAAGCTCACTGATTTGGGCATTTACCGAAGCAGAAGAACAGTCATGTTTTTTGGCACGCTATGATTTTTAAGAGTATTCATAGGAACATATGCTTTATATAGATACAGTGAGACCACAAGTCAACAAACAAGATCTCAGGCAAACTAGGAAAACAAATAAGGGGTATTTGTATTGCAAAATTTCCCCCAAAGTGAAATACTTCTGTGTGTGATGGTGGTGGTGGTATAAGGCAAGAATATTTTTGTTATTTTACTCAACTGTAGCTTTTTAGAGAATCACCTGCAGATGTGCTTTAGGGAGCTACAAACATTCCGACAAGGAAGCTAATTCTATTATCTTCAGACAAGATGCTTTCTCCTGAATTGAGCTGCTTTGAGACACACTGCGATGGTACAAATAAATGCAGTGCTTCATTTCACATGCTGTTCCTAACACAGTTCTCCCTTTATGTAAAAATAAATTAAAATTGGGCTTCAATAGCAGATGCTCTGGCACAATACAACAATGTCAGTGCAGCTTATTTATTGAGCGAGCAGCTTTAAAATGAATGACTGTATACCAAACTCCTGCGTAATGTCCATTTTCATCCCTGCTAGCTACTCTCTTCTTCCTACAGTTAAAAGTTCCCCTATTTTGGAAAGTGAGCCCTTCCTGTGCATGTTAGACTGGGGAAGCACACATTAGGTAGCTGAGGTGATAATATACATGTGCAAGAAATGACGCCTGCCAAAACCAGTTTGACTCAGTGGATAGAGCGTCAGCCTGCAGACTGAAAGGTCCCAGGTTCGATTCCGGTCAAGGGCATGTACCTTGGTTGCTTGCGGGCACATTACCAGTAGGGAGTGTGCAAGAGGCAGCTGATCAATGATTCTCTCTCATCGATGTTTTAACTCTATTCCTCTCTCTTCCTCTCTGTAAAAAATCAATAATATATATATAAAGAAATGACGCCCATTAAGAACCAGCAGCATCATGAGCACGCACGCGTGTGCCCATGTGTGCACACACACGTACACACACAGAGGGTCGCCCTGGAAACACAGCTAGTACTCCATCTGCGCGGATGGAGTGGAGCCAGGCTGGGGATACTAGGACAAGGTGCCTGATACAATCAAACCAGACGCTTGAGGAACGGGGAGTATGACTCAATTGAATTTTCTGGTTAGCCGAAGGTCAAACAAGAACGCTTTTGGTTTCAAACCTTGTTGCTGAAAACGTCGCTAAAGCACCCGAGTCCATGCTCCCACCCTGCTTAGTGCCGGGTGGCGTATTGAACATGACAGATTCATTCTCTTATGGCTGTGGAACTGGCAGCCTCCTTGTCATATTTCCGCACATCCGTCTGCATTTCGCACCGCCGTGGATGTGGAAGGTGTGGGCTCTCTGGGGGAATGGACGCTCGCAGAACCTATTTGTTGCTTTTTGAGTGTGTGTGGTTTGCAACTTTCTCCAAAAAGGAGGGATAGCAATTCAGATAAATGGAGGGCTCTGGGGGTGACAGCTGGATTCCAGAGAGCTATAACTAAGCGGGGTCCAGACAGTAGCCCATTGTTAAATTCTTGTGCCGCTAGCTTGGACACCTGTCCACATCTCCATGAAGTCACTGTGAATGATGAAGAGGATAAACGGCGGCAACTAACATTCCAGGAGGCCCGGGCCCTGCTGAGCCTTCCACGCATTAACTCACTGAGTTCCCTAACCGCCCTTCGTGGCATCTGACAGTCTTAAAGAGTGTGATCGGGAATTATTCAATTTACACATGATGAAACGAGCTGGGAGCATTAAGGCCTGGCCCAAGGTGCGGCTGGGATGCTGCAGAGCTGGGAGCTGGAGCTCGGGTCTGACCCCAGAGCCTGCAGTGCTCGGCCTCCCTCCCCATCCAGGAGCCTGGCCCGCAGGCACTGCCGAATTCGGTTCTATTTCTGTAAGTGCTTCTGGGAAAAGGCTAGGGACTCAGGGCAAATGTGGCTTGATTGATAAATTAAAACCAGGATATCATGTTGCTGGGGATTGCAACCTGGGAGTGAACTTGGCTGTGAAATAAGGGAAGAAATAGCCTGGTTGTAAGAGTACTTCTGGGGCAGAAGGTCCCCTGATAAGCAGGCATGAAAATTGGTCTGCCTGACAGCTTCCTGTTGCTTATTGGGAAAGAGACAGAGACAGAGAGAGAGGGAGAGCGAGAGAGAGATCAGACAGGTGCATAATCAGTACAGGTTGTAAACAACTGAATTCTGTTCCCTCACAGCGGGATACATGCAGGGTATGAGGCGGCTAAGCTAATAACCAGAGTGGCTCGCAGTGACCAAAGGGCGGGGTGGGGTGGAGAGATGGGACCTGCCTCCTTAAAGAACCTGTCCTAGGAGACAGGGAAGGGACACTGGGAATGCACGAAGTGTTTATATTTCACCACCAAACAGTTAATATTTTACGTTTATAAATAGGAATAGATGGTAAATCATGATGGAATGATAGCCGCTATTTTAGGGTCCTCACATTTAAACGGATAGATTTTTATCTTCATTATAAAAGCACTTTTGGATAATTCCTTTTACAGTCATGTGAGGATTAAAAGTCAGTGTTTGTTATTACTATTACCATGTTTACAGGGAATAAAAACTTTAGCACATGTGTAACAACAATATGTCTTCTTAGCAACTGCCTCAGTAAGAGGTCTTGACTTTGTAAGTCATGAGTCATAATTATAAAAATATGAACAATTATAACTATTACAACTATGTTGTTGATATGAATGACAGTCTTGGCATCTTTCTCCCATTTTAAGAAATACCAAGCATCTGATTCCTCAGGTAGCAATTAATACTAATGTATTTTTGGCCTTTTCAATGACTTTGACCCTGTGACCTCGGTTTTACTCACGTTGGTCACCACAGCCAGAATTGCGATTCCTTGCATGATGGGCTGCCACGCTCCGATGTCCTGGGCTTTTTCTGGCACCATGCGCCGGTACTGGGTAGTCATTTTCCACGCGTCTACTCTTATCTCCAAAATATTGTTCACCAGAGCCAGCAGAGGGGCCAGTGGAAAAGAGGCCACAAATAAGGTGACAAAGCCAAACTGAATAACTGTCAATGAAATGGACACACATCATGGATGGTGGAGGGATGGAAAGACAACGGCAAACAACAAACTAACCCCCCGAAAAGAACAGACATTTGTGGCACTGGTAATATTTAACAGCGAAATAATTAAAACACAAATACGAGATCTCCAAGGGAAAAGATGAATTATAGCCTGTTTCTTTCACATTTATATACTTAATAGGAATAATATATTTAAACACCTTTCATCAACCCATGTTATTTGCTGGCAAATGAACCTCGGACACTCTAAGCATATTATTCATTCTCAATGTTGAAATAATAGAACGTTGGAAGATGATTTGTGATTTGGGATTGAAAAAGAGAAAACACTGTGGCAGTACCTAACAAGCTAAAAAGAAATAAGACATGCACCTTTGTAAGATTCTGCTTAGAGACAGTGGAGGAAATATGCTGGAAACAGGCAAATAAAATAAGCAAGCTCCCCTGAGTCTGTCAGAGAAGTTGAGGTATTACCACACATCACAGAAATGTCCGTGGCAAACGTGTCTTAAGGTAAAATATAATCCTTCCTGAGGAAGTCTTATCTTGAAGTTGTCGCAGTTGATGTGATCACCATAAGTCAAGATACAAGTGGTGACTTAGAAGTTCTCTTGCCTATAATTTATGTGGCGTACACTATATGTACTCTACGATATTATGTTCCGTTTTAGACTCTTCCCTCCTAACTGGCAGACCTTTAAAGTAAACTAGTGTAGCATGCAAGTAAGACTGTGGAGGAGGGGAGAATGTCAGCCCTTTTAGGGTTCTCGCTTAGACAAGGGGCAGGGACCACTCTGGCCAGAAGGGCCAGGCTGTGCAGGGTGGCTGGGCAGAAGGAGCAGGCTATGGCTGCTGGTCTCAGAGGCAGGGTGTGGGACAGCCAGGTGGGGACATGTTCAGGGAAATCAGATAAGCAAGGACTAGAGTTGGTGATGTCATCTTCAGCACCACAGCATCAAGCAGTGATGTCAATGTTTGTGTCTATGACTCATCCAACCCTGAATGAACTCAACCCCCTGCAGGTGTGAACTGGCAAGTGTGTGCCCTAACGATGGGACCACTCACAGCTGCCAGACCTCACGATTCCAGGGAAGCCAGAAATTCGGACTAGATTGACAAGAAGCTCAGCTAAACACCCAAAAAAGGAAAAGATACCATTTATAATGACAACAAAAGTACGGATGATTTAGAAATAAATTAGTGAGAAATGGTAAGACTCTTATAATAACTTTAAAAAACAAGGTAAAACAAATAATGATGAATAAATAAATGATGTGCAGACTCAACTTTGGGGACATATCATTTTTTTCCTCTAAAATATAAATTAGCATTTGAATGCAAATTTAGTTAATAATCCCAAAGGAATAATAATAATAAAAAAAAGCTAAAAAGCGATGCTGTAATTTTTAAAGAAATATACACAAATGAAATAATAGGAGGAATGTGTGAACTGACAGTGTTAGGGACATCCTGAAAAACAACAAAACGAGACTAGCTCTACGAGATGTCAATGCATATTACAGTGCTATGATAATTGGAACAGTTTATAACAGGTGCACTAGTAGATAGTATGAATTATACAGAATAGGTTTCAAGAAGAGATGAAGATATTCATGGGGTTTTAATGTATTATAAATATGATACTTCAAATCAGTAGATTCGAGCAAGGAGCGATTAGCTCCACACTGGAACAACTGGCATAGAGTCCTCACTTTTGACACCAAAATCAATTCCAGATGGTATAGTCTGTTCTGATATTGAAGTGAGAATAACATTTGAAAGCAAGCAAGAAAGAGAAAGTAACAGCCTATCAATTCAATTCAGCAAGGCAAAAACACCCATCGGGAAAACAAAGGTAACCCTTGCCTGGCGCTTCTTCATGACCTACATGCTAATACTTTCCACGCATTTTGCATCACTTTAAAGTCAAGTTTCTTGAAGTACCTACACTGAGTCTTTTTTCACCCCTCGCTGCCACTGCCGCAGCCCTCACCCCTGCACCCCCCCCCCAAAAAAAAAAACACAAAAACCTATGCCCTTCGGAACTTGGTGGGGGTAGCTGGGGCAATCTTAATGTAAATTCCACTCATAGTGGGATGTGTGTGTTGAAACTCCAAGCTCAGGTCCCTTAAATGACTGTGAGACGAGGGCCAGGCGGTGGTGTTCCAGCTGTGACTGAGAGAAGCGGAGGCCTCGCAGCTCCCTCCTTGGGGAGCAGGCTGGCGGGGAGAGGCATGCGCAGTCACTACTCCCCCCAGGGGTTTAGCTAAGGCCAGAGAAGAGGGCAGCTAGTGTGTGTGGAAAGGGGAGGGTCACTTGGGGGCCTGGCAGGAATTCTTCAGACAGAACCGAAGGCAGGTATTTCGGCCTGGGCAAGGCCTACGCAAGGGTGGAGGCTCCAGGGTTGTTTGTTGGAAGGTGTTTCCCTTCGTAACTGAACAGGCAGATGGTGGTATCGTCATGACATGGGAAACAGGAAGCAAGGAGAAATTGTGGTGATGAGACCACCACCAAAGGTTCTCTCCTTAGAAAAACAAAAATAATTCAAAAGACTTGGGAATTCTATCACCCACAACATGATCAATTTCACTCTGGAGTTGAAGACGGAATAACGGACTGCCTACTCTTATAAATTGATTAAATTTTCTAATTCATTAGGTATTATTTAGAGAATAGGAAAATAATTTAATAAATCTAAAATAAAAATAAAAAACATCTATAATAGTTGTTATTTCACCTTATAAGGTAGGATGAGGCCAAATTATTTAGCTGGAAATTATTTTAATGAGAGTAGGAAACCCTAAAGGTCCTATCAACTTCCCCCCAAGCCTCAACTCTGTAATGTTTCCTCTCAATGTCACTGGTTTGACTAATCAACTCCAGGAAAATAACTCCCCCCCCCCAACTTTTATTGGTGCTAAAATAGCAAATGACATTCTGCCCCAGAAAGCTGTTATTAATGCTGATAATGGCTCCACATGAAATATTTATAACTATGACTCATTTTAGAACAACAGGTAAGTGTCTTGAAAGTCCTTCTGGAAATAAACGGAATAAACATAGCTTCTGCATTATGTATGGCAGCTACACCCTTAATTGAACCTGGCCACAAAACACAACAGAAGCAAATAGGAAATTCAAATCCGACTCCAGGCTGCAAAGCGTTGCTGACTGTAGAAGCTCCAAGATGAACCTTTCACTCACTGAAGGGAGCAGCTGTGTTTCCATGGATAACATGTATTTTTACAAGCAATTATTTTATATATAGAATGTGATTTAATAAAAGTTGCCCTCTCTCTCTCTGCCAACGTGTAAACAGGAACCACAAAGGGTGTCTGCAAACACACAGGCTCCTTTGCATAAACGCAAGGTCTGTCACCCACCGAGCTGTGCCTCCTGTTCTATTCTCCTAAGCTTAAGGAACTGTAATTCATTACAACGGTTAGCTGAAAGGGCACAGATACAAAACATACACATTGTTAGCCTTCTGACAGATATATGCGTGCCATGCATAATAGAAAAGATGTTGGCAATCTATTTTGAGGTGCATCCATTTAAAGGCAACCGAGAGCTCAAAATCCAATTCAACTGAAGAGAAACAGAGCCAGGCAAACACTCCACAAATGCACAAAGGCCAACAAGAAGGAGGAGCCTGTGCTAGATCTTAATTCCAGACCAGCCAAGTGGTTCTGGATTCAAGCCAGTGGTGAGTCATGAGGTCACTCAAGGAACCACCGGCCTGAAGGAATAGATGCGTTGCCAGGGGCAGGTGTGAAAGCAGGCAAGGGAGACCCTGTATTGCCTCTGGGACAAGCAGCAACATGCTGCCTCCTTCCCCCACCCCAGCTTTCTGCACAGCCTAGCCCCTACTGGACTTGGTTCGGAAGTGCATCAGCCAACAGCTGTGCCCGTATGGTCTCCAGCCGAGCCGAGTCACATCTAATAGTGGTTTCAAGTTCACTCTCAGACAACATGATTAGAATGCCCTGAGAACTAAAGATGAACTCAATGACTACTCCATTTCATCAGTCATACATCTTTAACTCTGTACAACAAAGATACACACAGTCACCTTATGTGAAAGCCTGATTATATAAAGTTATGTAATCAGCCTTTCAAATGGAGGAAAACATATCCCATTTTAATATGCTAGATCCATCGTCGGCAAACTCATTAGTCAACAGAGCCAAAATCAACAGCACAACGATTGAAATTTCTTTTGAGAGCCAAATTTTTTAAAACTTCTAACGCCACTTCTTCAAAATAGACTTGCCGAGGCCGTGGTATTTTGTGCAAGAGCCACACTCGAGGGCCAAAGAGCCGCATGTGGCTCGTGAGCTGCAGTTTGCCGACCACAGTGCTAGATCGTTATTTGGCTTGATAATAATGACTTCTGGGATCAAAAACATGCTCCATTATAACTTATATCATCTAAAGTATCACTTGTGACTTACTCATTTCAAGATACTCATAAAATAGTCCCAGTCTTCCCATGAGCTGCAGATGGTAGTCCTGTTCCCATCGCGGAGTTACCTTTTCCGAACCCGAAACTGTGCGGCATCGACCAATTAGATTCTTGACCCAGCTGCCAAAAGAACCAATGGTAAGTTAGGCTATTAGCAGACCAGGTCACAAAAGCATTCAGTGACATCTCAAGATGAATGCATTATCTGCCCAATAAATACATCTTGTGCTTTGACTGAGTACTTCGGTGTATCAAAATTGTAACTGCTACATTTTCTCTTAGCTCCTTTCCTATGGGCAGTTCAGTTCAAAGATGATTTCCCTCTTTTGATTAACTTTGTTCCCCCCATCCCCCCCTCATTTCTATGTTATTATACAAAATTGTCTTTCCAGAGAAAAACAAAGACACAGATTGTGAGCTGGGTGATAAGTGCCGTGGAGAAAAAGTGTTTGTATTTGTGGTAGGGAGTGGGGTGGTGGCAATTTTAATATAATAGGTTTATTAAAAGTAACATTTGAAAAGAGATATTAAGAGGGTAAAAGGGTGCCACGGAGCAGTGGTTAGAGCATTGGACTGCACCCAGAAGGTTCTTGGGTTTGATTCCTGGTTAAGGGCATGTACAGGTTCGATCTCTGGCCCTGGTCAGGGCGTGTGCGGGAGACAACCAATCTGTGTCTCTCACACCGATGTTCCTTTCTCTCTCTCTCCCTCTCCCTTTTTTCCACTAAAAAAAAAAAAAATCAGTGGAAAAAATATCCTTGAGTGAAGATTAACAACAACAAAAGAGAAGGCAAAGGGGCATAGAGATCATTGTGAGGATTTGGGTGATTTTTACTCTGAGGGAACTGGGAGCCACTGAGGGACACAGAGAAAAGTGACATAGTTTGAGATTGGATAAAACAGCTCTAAGATGCTATGCCAAGCTGGACAGATCAACTTCCTGGAAGTCATTGTGCAGAGCGAGGAGGAGACGGCCATGGTGGCCCAGTGCTCTGCCCATTGCGGCACACTGTTCCCGCAGAGCTGTCTGCTGTCCTCCTTCTATGTTGTGTTTTCTTCTTCCTCAAAGCCTGGTGGCCCAGATAAATGCTCCCCTTTTTATGACAATTCGTCCTGAAGAGAAATGGGGGTTGGCAGCGACCTGAGGGTGCACCTGCAGCTGGGAGAACCGTTGTCCCCTAGAGCAGCGGGGCTTGTGGTTTCCCCACGGTGTTCATCGGAGGAGGAGCCACAACAGCAAACTCCAAATGCAGACACAGACATCTGACTGAGCCTCGGCTGAAGGAACACCATGCTTACATGGATTTCACATTCGGACAGTGAGAAGGCTTCCCACTAAGTAAAGGTGGCTGTATATATTGCATGTGCATGCACACATGTGGACACACACACACACACACACACACACACGGTAAGGTATGACTAGCTCACCATGCTGGGTTTCCCACTGCTACTGATCTCAGCATTAACTCCGCACTGACCATTCCGAGGTTCACGAAGGGAGATTTCTCTACCATCAACGTGCCCCTGGCTTCACGATCTTCCCCCACTGCTTTCTCTTCTGTGGCGTTAGGGACGAAGCCGGAGGCTGTGGGAGGTGGGAGGATGTGGTTGCACACCCCTTGAATCTGAATCCACGCTTCCCTGCTTAGTCACTATGTACCTCTGGTCAAGTTCAAATCAAATGGGGTGATAAACCCTACCCTGCCCAAGGTTGCTGTCAGGATTGAATGATTCAAAATGGGTAAAGCATTTAGCCACTTCCGAACACCTCAAACCCCAACACACAGGATTCGTTTTTGACCAACCCAGGCCTAAGTGATTTAGAACTTGGCTTGGGGACGAAGCGCCATCTGGGTCGGCGGATCTCGCTCCAGCCCTTACGAGAAAAACACAGCGCTAGTTGCTAGTGCTACTTCCTAGGCTCCAGCCTAAAGCTCTAAAATCCGCCAAGTCTGGAAATCCGCGGTTTTACAGGTGTCTTGTGGCACCAGGGACCACACGTGTCCATCACCCCTGCTGACCCCAAACTCGAGATTACTGGCTTTGATTGGCTCCTGTTGTGCTCTGCCTCACACATCCAGCCTCAGCCTCTTGCTGAATCCTCTCTGGGGCCCAGAGAGGCAGGTCTTTTACTACTGGGATCCCAATTCCATCACAGTTTGGATTCTGTCCTGGCATGACTGACTCGTGAGACGCTTCCTTCTGGTACTTGCTGTCCTGCCTTCTCTCACCCAGAACTAGTCACGTCAGAGGTCACTGTCTCTCTGAAGAGCTTTCCTTCCGGAGCTACAGAGGCTAAGTCTCTTGTTCACTCTTCCTGCGTGAGCCACTCATCCGTGGAAGGAAATCTCAGGCTGTAGTCCGTCCATCACCGCCCCTGGTCTGTTAGGTTATCTGCTGGGTCGTGATTCTAGTGCAGGGACAGCCGTCTTGACTGCACGTGAGACTTGCCTAGAGCAATTTTTAAATACAGATACCAGACACTTCTTCCCCTGGCCATGGCTGCACATGGCTGCTTCCTCCCTCCAGCAGGGGTTACTGAATAATTTTCCTAGGAATGCACCGGGCCCATTAGCATAACAGCATCGTAATAAGTTGCTTTCTACAAAGCCTTTATTAGGTGTAGAGCGCAGTGTGAAGTACTTTGTACCTCATTTTCTCTTTGATCTTCGTTATTACATTTAATCCACATACGGCAGAAAATCACCATGTGTGCATTGAATGTTCTATAGGATTCCCACTTCGCTAACTTTGAACACAAGCACCTTTTCCTCCGTGGAGCTATTTCATGCCTGAGTTTATACTGTTCCTGAATTTAAAAAGCAGCGAGGGATACCTGTATTCAGGGCTCTCTTACTGTAGCTCTCTGGTCCCCCCTCTAGCCAATGCACATATCTCTTCTCAAGGGAACCATTCGCTTTTCTTGTAAGTAGTCCGTACCCATTGAGGAAAGTACAGAAAACATAAAGGAAGAAAATTACAGCCATCCATTACCTAAACTTTGACCAAAGGATGACGCTATTGGCATTTTGTATATTTAACTTTAATTATTTTCCTTAACATTTTATCATAAAAATCTCTCCAGAGTGAGTTGCTTAATGCAGATATTGCACCAGCCTTTTGTTAAGAACAGAATTCTCAGGGCTGCCTTCAACATCAAGTGAGGCCAGGAAGGCCGAGGAGCTCTGAGCTCGTTGTCTGAGTGCAACAAACAATTCTATTAACTTACTAATTCTATTAAGTTATCAATGTTATGGATTTCAGGCATATGAGTCACTCATTCCCTCAGTGGGTGCTGAGTGCCTGTTGAACACCAGGTGCTGATGAGACCGAACTGGAACCTCGGGCATAGTGCTGGGTATGCTGCTTCTCTTACTCTTAGTCCTAGCCAAGGGCCCAAGTAGGCTGGGGCTGGAAGGGGCGGGGCGGGGACGGGGGAGAAAAAGGTACATTTACAGCAGAATCCATTTCACTAGGAGACATTTAAATAGTGTGAAAAGAGCCACTGACTTAAAAAGCTTTTCTCTCCCTTCTGACATATTTTTGGGATGGGGGCAGCACTGGGTAGCAAGAGTAACTAACATATCTTTAGTGTGTTAGAGTTTTGTATGAAAGAGTTGGAAGGACACTCACATCTATGCACAGAGAAGAAGCAGTGATGAGAAGAGCCTGAGTCACTCTCCAACTTGGCTAACACTTTGCATTCCCAGTTTTCAAACAAGAGAAAAGATGATGCACAACACACAGTTTTAGGTCGGGAGAAGAAATATCCAAAGGCAAACTTCAGGTCCCTTTGATTTGTAACCATTTGGGCTTACAGGAAATGAAGGTGTAGACACAAACATGTTCACACTGTTGGTTGGACCATCTTATCCGGAGACATTTAATAAGCACTGAGTCTACGTTACCTTTGAGGTGGGCAAGCAGTTGCGTGGACATGGAGGCCAAAGACTTGGCTGGGTGGGCTATGTTATCCCCTGTCCCACATCCCAATTACACGACCTGATACTCACGGAAGTAACACCTCTTGTATGTTATTCCAGATTGCCTTTCCTCCCATGATGATTGCCAGCTGCGTTGTCAGTTCAAGGAGACAGCCACCTGGGTCACACTGGAATATTGAAAAGAACCTCATTTAGAAATCAGATGGCTCTAACATGAAACAGAATCATTCATTTTAATTCTTTCCGATCTTCTCTCTTTAGGCTTAAAAAAAAAAAAAAATCTAAGCATGCACAATGAAGAAACTATCTTCAGTTGTCGAGAGAATACAATTCTGTGTTCATACCTCTTCATTCCTGTATTTTCCCAGCCAGTACACTGGGTCTCCGGGATAACCTACAAATTTGCCCTTGAAGAAGGCGATGTAGAAACACGAGGAGTAGTAGTTGACAAACTGGAACAAGAACATCTTCATGGTGAGGCTGTTCTCGTAATCGGTCTGGGTCCGTGGGAGCTCTGGAGTTAACCAAAGAAAAGTTAAGTTTTAAAAACCGTGAACAGTGGATGAGACCCTAATCCAAGATACAGACACAGGAGTTAAAATGTTTTAAAAATACAATTCACACTGTTTCCATTTAAGCTGTTCTGAACTCCTTAATACAGCTCCTGTGTTAAGTCAAATTTACACATGGTTATAAGAGCTTCTCCCCCATAAATATATCCCACAAGGCAAAAAAAAAAAAAAATCAATGGTTCCTTAAAATGTACAAGCACAGTGTTCTCAAATGGGCAAGAATGCTATTCCCTCGTCTTCTTTAGGGTGGGTGTTGAAGAAAACCAACAAAACAAGGGAAACTGGCTGGAAGCATTTGGGGCAGACAAACCAGGTCCCCCTCCTAGTTTAGAATTTAGATTGGGCTGATCACCCTCAGAACAGGACCACCGAGCAGACACATGCAGCGAGTGGGAAGCACTTAGCTCTGGTCACAAAGCAGCTGCCTGGGACACACGCCAGAGAGGAGAGTCACTTATTACAAAAGCGGGAGCCGAGCTGTATGAATGCGAACAGAATGGGGGAAGACATGTAACAGCATGAGCGCTTGTCCTCTGGGCAACAGAGGCCCGTGTTTGCCACTGGAACCGTGACCCTGCTCCACTTATTCGCAATAAAGAGACTATTTACTTTCGACAATAGAGCACATGATGTAATGTAATTGCAAATACCACCCAGCGCTGATCTGTTTATACAAAGCTCGGACATTATAATGACTATCTACAGCTTGGCATTAGGAAAAGGGACAAAGCAGAGACAATTTCATCGCCCATCCAGGCCCGAGAAAATATGTTTACACTTGAAATTTCCGAGACTGGAATCGAAATGCCAAAAAGATAGTCTCCCTCTCCACTGGGTGCTGAAAATGTCCCAGGCACGACTGGAACTGTGGTAGGAACTTACCAAAATTGGTAATCATGATTGCCACTTTTTCATAGATCATGTTGAGGATCATGATGATGACAAAGCTGATGAGGGAAGCGGTGATGGATGTGGCTGTCTGTGGGGTCAGATACTTCTGGATTGGGTCTGTTCCATTCAGGTTCTTGGGAAGTTTGGCAGAAAACACAATGAACACCGAAAGTCTGTAGACGATGATCCCAATGACTGAAGCGATGATCAATAGGATCTGAAAGCACAATAAACACAGCAGCGTGAGACTCCCCAGTCATCATATTTTACACCGAAAAGTTGGCCTCAGACCTTACCTGGACAAGGTGCATGGGTGAAGTGATGTGAAAGCTCACAGAACTGCCACAAGAGAGGCAGAAATCAAGTGCGTTAAAGGTCAAAGAGAGGAAAAGGAATGAAGTCACAAGAGAGTGTGTCCACTAAAATGAGACGTTAAAGTAGGAGAAGCTGTGTGTGGGGAGTTTGGGAGTATGGGAACTCTGTACTTTCTGGGCAATTTTTCTGTAAATGCAATGCTGCTCTAAAAAAAGGATCTATTAAAAAAAAAAAAAAAAGGAGAGTGCGTCTTCAGATGGAATTAACTGGGAATGCGCTCTGGTAGAAGGAAAAAGTCTTTGTGACAGCAGGACCAGAGAAATCATCCCTCTATACTTATGAAATCATTTAGGTTATGAATCAGTGGTTTTTTTGCTCCATTAAGGGCGTATGTGTCCTCCCAACAGAAAACGTAACTCTGGTTCAGGGTCAGTCAGCAGGTACCAGCTTTCGTCTTAGTTGAGTGCCCAGGGTGGGTCTGACCAGGACCAGAGCTCCTAAGCTGTGCAGATGCCCCAGGGTAACCCCTGGAAATGGCAGCAGGTCTCTGCTTATCAAAGCTTCACACACTTTTCATGCTCATATTGTAAGACCTTAAACTGTCAGCTATTCATAACCTCATTTGCACAAGCTTCATTTCCCTAACCCGTCGCATTTAGGACTGCACGCCCCGTGTCAGCAGGAGTGTGTGAAGCAACAGATTGCACGTGGTTGCTAGGATTTCACTTCCTCACTGGGCAGGTTTTCTCTGCCACTCAACAGTGTACACCCGCGGTCCCGTTTTGAAACTGTTTGCCCTGCATCTTCCTCTTGGACACAGTCCAGAGCATGAACTCAAAGTGTCTGACTGCAGGTGAGGACTACTATGAGAGAGAGAACCCACAAAGAGTGTGAGTCTTGGGACTAAGCCAATGGTGTCACGGTTACAGTAACAGAGGAAGACGACTGCTCCCCTGGAGAGCAGTCGAGGGAGCGATTGCAAGCACGGCCCTGGAGCCAGCCTCCTGTGTGGGAACCCGGCTCTGCCTTGTACAAGGGCTGTGGGACCGGGTACAAATGACTGTACCTTTGGGGGGGCCCTCCATCTCCTCACCCATCTACAGGGGATCATAACAGCAAGTAACTTAGAGAATTTTTGTGTGAGGACTCAGTGAGCTGCTGTCAATAAACACATATGAAAAATACTATATAAATATTAGCTCTGATAATGGCAGCTTAAAGTGTTACCAAGATGTTTTCCTTACCTTTTTAGGCCATCAGTTTGTAGAGAAGGATTCTATTTCCTCCTCTAACCTCTCTCACTATCTCCTTTCCTTCACTGTTAAGGAATAACATTTAAAAAAAATATATGTGGTGTATATATAAAAATTTCCAAGGCCAAGAAATATGTATTAGAGAGGGTATATCAAATCCTTTCTCTCTCAGCACAGCACATATAGTCCATATGACCTTTGAGGTTATTAAGGAATTATAATAGTTAAGACTCTTTCTGTGCTCACTCCCTCAGCACACATATATCTTTAAGTCCTCCACAGCCCGGGGAGGGAGGCAGTATCAGATCTCCTTCACAGAGGAGGGAAGAGAGCCACAGAGAGACTAAGCAATTTGCCCCAAACTTAGCAACTAGTAAGTGAAGTCACTGAGAAATGCAAGGACTCCAAAGACCACTAACCTCTACACAGCGCTGCCTCCCACGTGGTTTCTGAAGTGAATTCTAATTCATTCCAGAGCTTTCACAAACTTAATGTTTGCAAACTTCTTCAGGCACGTGGCCGGTTCAATATTTCTCCATCAAAGGCAGAGAAGCTTTGCATTCACCTTCCTCAAGTTTCTTACATATCTTTCCTCACTCTCCCTTTAGTGTACTTTCCTTACCATAACTCTGAATATGTGCTCATCATGGAACACTTGAAAGCACTCTGTAGTGAACCACAGTTGCTTTTGCTGCCTAGGGTCTGTTTCCAGACTGAGAAAAGGACCCGGATTTTGCTTTTAGAGGGAATTCTCTCTACTTTTAGTCCCACGGTTTGGGCTAGACTGCCCTCCCTGCCCTGGGATCCTGATTAGATTGAGACAGGTAGGTATCTCATCCTATTCCCCTCAGCAACGGACTCCGGGGCTGACCACCTAATAAGGGCCACTTATGAAAGGAGATATCTACTCGTGCCCCTGGGGAAGAGAAGCTTCCGTTAGAGGACGCTGCTGAGAGAGGCCTTTCTCGGCTTCCCCGTGATGTGAGATCTGGAATGCTGCAGTCACTCTGCAACCATAAGGGAGAGACCACAGGACACAGAACAAAGATGGAACCAAACCCAGCCCTTGACATCGTCGGGGCTGCAGTACCTCCCCTGGACCAGAGCCAGACCTCAGACTGAGATTGTCGGTCCAACGCCCACTTTGCAGGAGATTGATTTTTCTGTCACCCACAACTGAAAGATTCCTAACGATAAAAGTAAAGACTAAAAAGTTCACAAAAATAGGGAAAATGTATCTACTATCTACCTGTGGCACAATTCCTTCAGAACTATGTGGTTTGCATATTAAGTCATTTTAATAATTGTATCTTTTCCTTAAGCCTATCATAACCAGGACATTTTTACATGTCATAAAACATTTTCATGGACATAGCTTTTCACAGCTGCAAAATACCCCATGGTATAAAGAGTATATATATATATAAATGTGACTAACTCTTTACTGACATAGATTATAGCATGTGAATATTTTTGACTCTTGATACTGCCAGATGGCATTCTAAGAAGGCCAGAGCAGTGTAAAATTCTAACAGCCTAGGTTATAAGAGTGCTGATCAATGCATTTCATCCTCTCAAACACTGGGTCATCACTTGAGAGGTGAAAAATTACATCTCGTTGTAATGCACTAATCTAATTACTCCTGAGGTTTGGCATCTGCCATGACAGTTTTCTCTTGTGACTGTATTCTCTGCCCCTAAGCTCCTGAGGTCTTGAGTATTAGCTTAGGAGTGATCTGGCCTTTTTGTGTATTGATGTGATTAACCCTTTGCCCTATTTGTTAATAATTATTACTTCTGGTGTTTTGTTTAAGCTTAGGGTTCTTTTGATGTATGAAAATTGTTAGCAATGTTTTCATCCAAAAATTCTCCCACTGCTATTAAGTTTAGAAAATCATTTTATATCTAGAGATCATATATTCATCAATATTTATTTCTAGTTATTTTTAGTGTTACTTACCTTTAATATTTCTGGAATTTATTATAGCATGTGGTTCATGATATGGTTTCTTTCTTCAACTTTCCCGCCAATAGCTAACAAGTGTATTTTATTGAATAATCTTTACTTATGCCAGATTTAGAATATTCCTATTCTCCTATATTACTGATATCAGAGCCCATTCTGGGCTTCATGTCCTATTCTCTAATCTGGCTACTCTTGAGTCTACAAAATTCTCTGTATATTACAGACCCTTATCGTTCTAATATGATTTTATTAGTGATAAAGTCAAAATTAACTTAATAAGTTCAAATATTTTAGTAATATTGTCTTTTGATGTAGAATCATATTTGAGGCTTCTTTTACATTTTTCATGCCTTTGATAGTTCCTGTTATCTTTTTGTTAAGACTGTTCTTAGAGCTTTATACATTAATTTGTCATAACTGAATTTTATTTTAGTTGCTACTGATGAAAAATTTTAGAATCCTGAGTGACTCCCAGATGGATTCTTCACCAGAAACTGGAAAATACTGGATCACTGCTCTGATTTAAACAAATAAGATTACATACCCTGTTTCCCAGAAAATAAGACAGTGTCTTATATTAATTTTTTTTCTCCCAAAGTTGCCCTAGGTCTTATTTTCAGGGGATGTCTTATCTTTCCATGCGCTAGGTCTTATTTTTGGAGGATGTTTTATTTTCGGGGAAACACGGTAGTTTCCAGCTCAGTGTTCAGCTTCCTCAACATTCAAAATTGGATATTAAATTGTGTGAAGGACTCACCCAGAATAAGACAGCACTTGCGCAGACGACAGCACGTATGCATTTCCCCCAGGTAGTGAAGGGAACCCGCTCTTCTTCCTGATTAAAAAAATAATAATAATTAAAAAAAAAAAGTAGAAGTTTAGGCAATCAAGGGATTACTCCAATGAAATAATTTTTCTCCTGATGAGTCACTATATCCTAAGCTGAATTTAATTTTTCTAAAATTTAGTTTTCCAACATAGCCTCCTTCCTCATAATTGCATGCTCTTTGTTAACGATTTCAAACATACATACAACAAAACATAAGCAGTGCTCATTTTAATATTTTTTGAAAACGAAAGTGTGAATAATAATTTCTCTGCCATAACCTGAGCTCGGAGGTCGGGTACCTGACGAGGCCACGCTGTGAAGCTGCATTTCCGAGCGTGTCTTAGGTGTTAGAAGCAATGATAGAGAGCTCAAAGTCCATGCAAGATGGAACATCTCATCGATGTTTGCAAATGCGAGGTATCCAGTATGAGCTCTTGGTTGAGCTCTACACATGTTCTCTGTCATAACCGAATTTTTAAAGTTTTCCCTTTAAATGAATATATTTAAAATTTTAAGAGCAGAAGTCAATACCTCTCAGGATTTACGTGGAGAGTAAGAGAAGCTATAGTACAGCAATAGCTGCAGATACTTGTGTGCTATTTACTCTGTACCAGGTACTATTTTGCACAGGTTCTAAACATTAAGTCGATTCAGCCTTACTACAGTTGTTTGAGGAAGCAATTGTATTTGTTTCCATTTTATAACGGAGGAGATAATGGCACAGAGAAATAATTTGTCCAGAATCATTCAGCAGCTACCTTGCTGTGTTTGGATTTGAACTTAGGCAAGCTCGTCCTCAAGACCTGACCACTGCACTATACGCCTCTCTAAGCCAAGGGAGGATGTGTTAGCATGGAAAGTAAAATGAGAAGTAAAATAAAGGCTCAAATAAACTTTCATCTTTAATTGTTTTAACAATGGAAATTTAAACCTATTTGGTGATTTTAAATGTAAAATTGGCAGGTTTAAATTACCAAGTTGATTTTTCTTCAGTAATTTCCTTATGTTACCAATATAAGCTTTTGTTTTTCAGGACTCAAAAGACATTATGAACATACAACTCTGTTTAAGTTTTGGCTCTCATTTCTGAATCTACGATCTTTCAACCACACATGCTTTGGCTCTGTCTTCCACAGTCAGCAGTGGGAGCTATTCATAATGGGGATTATTCGCAGTTTATTACCGTCACAAAGCCAAATGTCACCTTCTTTGGTAACTGGATCTCATTTCCCTCACTTACGAAATGAGGAGTTGAACTGCTCCCTCTGGTTCCTTTTAGTGCTGACTGTCTGTAAATCTGTGACTCAATTTATAAAATCTAGAATCAGGACATTTTCAGAAGCTCTTGGGAAGAGCATGTTTTCCTAAGAGTTATTCATTTTCAAAAGTCACTGTCCTTAAGCTGATTGCTGCAAGTACAATCAGCCCTAAATTGTCTGTGTTGATGGGAAGAAGCAATAATTCAGCCGATTAAAAAATCATCTTTTGCTGGCTTTGGGATATTTATACAGAAAGATATAGAGGCATTTTGTTTCTAATTTTGTAGCAGCAGCAAATTTACGTTTCCAACAATATGAAGTGCCTCCCACAGTGACTGAACATAGTCGGACCTCAACAAAGGTTTTCCTTTTCCACCCTTCCCTCCAAATTAGGGGAAGAGCCACACTGTTTTGTGCACATCCCAGCCAGAAGGGGGAGCAGTGACTGAGGCTTTAGTGCGAGGCAAAGGGGCAGCTAAGGCTGGGATGAAAGGGGCTGAAATAACGAAGGAAGCGCATGTGAACAGTTGAGAATTAACTAAAAACCTATGGATCTTCCGATACATTTATGTCACAGAGTCTATTTTTGTGTGTGTATGTTTTTTACTGGAAGTGGAAAGAAAGGATGCAAACCAGTGCATCTTTTCTTATACAGCAGGTTCTCAAATAATATTGTTTCATCAAATAATAACGTCATTGCATTAGAACACTGATGAGGGGATGTAGGAACCTACCTTTCATTTGTCTCAATTGGCCTAGAGTAAAATTGGTTTCATTATATATCATCTACTTACAGGTTTGCAGAACTTATATCATGACAGCCCAGTGAGGGCTTACTGTACATTTATCTCAAAGTTGGCTTTTGTATTTTTATTTCCCCCCCCCCCCCCATTTTTACTGTTACTGTGAAAGAAGGGACTACCTTTATCTTCCATGTCCACTGTTCTAAGCACAGCTTCTTCACTTTGGGTACACAATCAGGATTCCTGGAGGAGCTTTAAAAAAAACCCTGAGCCCAGAACACACCCCAGGCCACCAAGTACCACCAGAGTAAGTAGTGATGAGAGGCAGGCATCCACCCTGCAATAAGCAGACTGACTCCTTACCTGAGTGATCTCATTTATCACCACGTGAGTACACCGGGCCTCATATTCCGGCCGGGGCTGTTCTTCCTGCTGTAACTCAACCGTGTCCCATTCGTACTCAAGCTCTGCCTGGCGCCGCTTCCAGAACTCCAAAAACAAGGTAACTAATGGAGAGAGAGAACAGGATCATGTGGGCTTCCAATGATGGCTGATGTTCCTTAAATCTATACTAAATACTATTTATTACCCGTAACCCTTGTATACAGTCAACAGCATCTAATTTACAGGTGACACTAATATTTTAAAGAGCAGAAGACAAGTGAAGGCTCTTGTAAGAGCTGACAGCTTATGGGAAAGGGAACAATGTGATGGCCGGAGGAATGGGAGTGTCTAGGGCTGAAGCATGGGCTGCCGGCACTTTTCATCGCCACCTAAACACCACAAATATCCAGTATAGTTCAGAGCATTCACGGCCCATCCTTCAGGCTGCTCTCCCCCACAGCCCTCTCCCTCACGTCCTTCCTAAGGGCTCGAGTGGGGGGGAATGCTTTAGTAATTCCCAAGTCTCTTTCTACCACCACCCAAGCCACCCCAAAGTAACGTTAATATTCTTAAATATAGAAAACTGGTATATTTTTCTATCTTGTGTAAAGTATAAAGTGTAACTTTTAGACATTTTTATTATTTTGTAAGATTTGTAACTTAAAATGCGGGAAAATAAAGAGAACATTACACATTAACTGAAAATGTGGTTTCGGGTTAAATCCTCTAGGCCCTCCTTCCAGATGGCTACCACCAAGCCCTCGCTGTGTAGAAATTCTGTTACCACTGTTCCACCCAGAAATACTGCTCGAGTTTCTACCATGTGCTGAGAAGAGAAAAAAGGCGCAATCTCTTTTTCAAGGAGCCCCTTAGGTGTACAGAGATTACAGTGTAGTGCTAGTTACAGTAGACTACTAAGAGGTACTTGGTAAAGGTCAGCCCAGGTTGCTCTGGGCACACAGAGCCAGCATAAGTAACCAACATGGAGCCATGGCTCCCGCAGAGGAGGGGAGCCCACGTGAGTTTTGAGGTGACTTCGACTGATCAGGTTAAAGCCACCTCCCCCCACCCCCCAAAAAAAGGAGCTGCTCAAAGCAAAGGCCAGGGGATGAAGAGAGCCAGGTACTTTGCAGACACTGGGTGATGGACAGAGTGGGGCAGCCAGGTGGAGTGAGTGCAGGACCTGTGTTGCTCTGCACAAAGGGTGGACAGAACCTACCCCACAGGCTATTGGGAACGTATTGAAACCAGAGCTGTCAAGGCCCTCCAAGCCCTCTGAAGTCATTGTTATGGTGATCCCATTTTAGACACCAAGAAACGGAGGCGCAGGCAGGTTCAACTACTCGCCTGCGGTTAGTACCGAGTCAGAAATCAAAGCCAGCTTTGCCCCTGACTCTCCTGCTCTCCAATCCCCCTCCTTTGGCCAGTGGATGACAAGGTAAACTACAACACGTTGCTTGGGTGTCATCGCTGCTGGCTTTCTCAGTTTCTGATTCTGGCACTCCGCTGGGCACACTGCTAGGAACTGTCCTGTTCCCAGGCAGGGCCTCTGTGGGAACACGAGCCCTGGGCGGAGCCTGCTGTGGTTGCCGGAATGTCTGCACGGGAATATAGGTGGAGGGCCAGCTTCCTGTCGTGGGTGCTGTTGTTAACGGAAGCACAGAGCTCAGTGAGTAGGGGAGGTTACTCCTTGCCGTCCACTTGGTTGGGAGCCAGTTGTCCTTATAAAGCTCTGAAACCTGAGGCAGGAGTTACGTAAGGCCGCCTAGCCTCTTTAAATAGGAATGATGCCTCCCCGTCCCCTGCCGCCAAGTTGTAGTTTACCTTGTACTCCACTGGCCCCATCAGGGAGCACAGGGAGCTGAAACCGGTATGACTCAGTGGACAGAGCATCAGCCTATGGACTGAAAGGTCCCGGGTTCGATTCCGGTCAAACGCATGTACCTTGGTTGCGGGCACAGCCCCAGTAGGGGGTGTGCAAGAGGCAGCTGATCGATGACTCTGTCTCATCGATGTTTCTAACTCTCTGTCCCTCTCTCTTCCTCTCTGTAAAAAAAAAAAAAATCAATAAAATGTATTATTTTTTTAAAAAAGGAGCACAGGGAAAGGCCCAATTGTCCCCAAATTCCATCTCCTGGCACAACAGCTACCACGTATGAGTTAACATTGGAGGATGAAATCCACAGAGCCCTGGGGTATTCCTTCCCGACCCTCTCAGTTCCTCAAATGCCCCAAAACCTGTGAGGGAATAAGCTGTGAGAGAAACTGAGCTGGTTCACCTGTCCGACCCCTGAGAGCTGGACTGATGTGGCTGCGCCTGCTCTCAGGAAGGTCTGCTCCGTGTGCCTGGGCCTCCCTCCTTAGCCTGTGCCGACTCCACTGAGAAACTGCCCAGCCACGTGTGTCCTTGTCCCCAAGCAGGAGGAAACGAGGCATCGGTGGGATGAAAGTCTTCAGGGCACTAGGTATCTCTGTGGATCCAGCTGTGGTGGCTGGTCCCGCCTCCCACCTGCCGCATGCTGGCCTCATGTGGCTGATACTCCCAAAGAGACCCCTAGTGTAAGGTGACCAGATGTCCCGATTTTTAACAATTTGTCCCGCGTCCCGCGGCGTTTTTTAAAAAAAGTCCCAATTTTTGGAAAGATTCTTTTAAATCTTTTGGACTTTTTTTTAAAACGCCATGGGATGTGGGACAAATTGTTAAAAATCGGGCTGTCCTGCCAAAAGCAGGATGTCTGGTAACCTTACCCTAGTGGACAAATGAGTCACCCATGAGCCAACCTTCCTGGGCTTCATCTGAAACAGCACAGTGCACCCACTTACTAGAGTCCCCTGGGCTCATGTCTCCTGGCTACACACCCAATGCACCCCATCAGGTAGAAGAGCTTAGTTCTTTAGTTTACTTGAGAATTCTGCTAGTATTGCATGAACTCTCCATCCCCAAAGTTCTTTCAACTGTGTCTTCCTACTAAACGGTTAAACGCCCAGTGGAAGTGTCCATTCTGTCAAGAACGGCACACTTTGTTCCCTACGCTGAGCTCAACGTTCGTGCTTCAAAACAGGCAGCCCTCACGATCCTGACCTGTGTTTGCTTCTGCATGTACTGTGGGTCATGCCCACTGGAATGCCACCGTGAGGGCCGGAGTCTCGTTTCATTCATGTGGAAGCACTAGCCCACAGCAGGCACTGAGTGAATGAGCTGTAGGAAGCCAATCCAGAGCTTGGAGAACCCCCACCACGTAGGATCCCCGATGGATGGAACCATCTACTCCAGCTGCTCCCCTCTGTGCGTGACCACCCGCCCACTGTCATCCTCTGCTATACCAGATCACATGGGCCCCCTCCTGTTTCCCTACGCCCGGCAACAGGTCTGCATAAGCCGAGATGGAGAACATGTCATAGAGAATGCGCCAGTTTACTGCGGAGGTCCTGGTGGCTCTAGCCCCTTGATTGCTGGGAGGATGTCAGAGTAGACGGACTGAGGGAATCGTCATGAGTTCTGTCCTACCTCCCAACTCACCAGAAACATAAGATCACAGCAGCGGAAACTCTGGCCCTTCCAACTGAGGAAAGACACTATAGGTGGGAAGGCGGTGTCTGCCCCACCATGGCCTCTGTAGGAACCCAGCTTGCTGGGAAAAGCCTCTCAGGAGCCACGCGAGATACCTTCCTTGTAATTCTTTTAATTTTGCAATTTTGATCTGTTAGATGTGTTTGGAATCCTTTTTCAAAAAAACACATAAAAATCTCCAATTTCCTTCTCTGCAAAGAAAGTGACTTTTCATTTAAGAAATAAAGCAGCGTATTTTCATGAATGTATATCTTTAATCATCTCTCCTTTTAAAGAAAACTGACTGCACACATGAAAGGCCTGCTCGTGGTGGCGCCCAGAGGCAGGCATAAGTGAAAGGAAGCTTTCTGATCTCATCGGGCGAGTGGCAAGAGGCTACGAGCCTGGCTTTCTTCTTCCCGGTACACGTGTCAGGTGAGGTGGACCCAGAGTCACGGAGTGAAGACTTTCTAACCCCTTCCTACAATTCCCAGCTCCAGACAGAACCGCCGTTCTTCCAATCAAGTAAACATGTATGCATCTTTCTAAGAGCTTCCTATAACTTTATTACTATACACTGCGTTTTGTCACCGACTGAAAGGCTGACAGCCACATTGTTTGCAGAGCTCTTGTTCTGTGCTCCTCACCTTCTGCTTCCCTCAGGGGAGTTGAGTAATTTGGTTAATCTTCCTGAGTGTCACTTTCCTCATCTTTAAAATGGGAGTATAATAGCCATCCATTAGCTCACTATCTAGCAACAGTATCAACAGGAGATGGTTTACGAAAAGAAGACTGTATTTTTCTCACAAAAAAAGCAGTATCGGCAATCCTAATCAGCACTATAAAGAAAGGAGAGTGGGCACTATTCCTTGTCTTCCCTGAACTTGAACATAAGGGGTAAAACAGCCTCTGTTTACCAAAGGCTTCTGAACCCAAGGAGCAGTTCTGCCTAGGAAGTGACAGGACTGCCAAGCAAGCAAGAAATGGCCTGGTGAAAAATAACGAGCTGTTAGCAGATCCTGAACCTCAAAGGCAAAAACCTGGAGAGTTGCCGGGATGGGTGGGAGTTTCTTAGTCCTTCGTTTCACACAGCGAAGGATTTGCAGGGTTCCTGGAAGGCATGGTAACCTGGTACAGCCGCCCAGCATTCTGGAGCGCTCCTGGCCATGTCCCTGCTGACTCACCGCTGCACATCCCTGACGGAGAGCACCACAGCCTGGCCTGGGGTGACCCTGCGTGATGTCACACAGGAGTTTCCTGTTCTCTTTCTTTTGCGCTCTCCCTGCAGTAAAACACCTGGCACAACTCCAGTGGGAGGCACTGTACTTATTTCTCTGGCAAACCACATACCATGAAGCTCTGGCTGATTAAAGAGATACAGTTACAACAACAGAAGAGGGATGGCTGGCTAGGACCTTGGGAATTAAGAACAGCCTGTCCTTTTTTAAAAAACACACACACTTTTATTGACTTCAGAGAAAAAGGGAGGAGAGGAAGAGGGAGGGAGGGAGGGAGGGAGGGAGGGAGAGAGAGAGAGAGAGAGAGAAAGAAAGATCAATGATGGGAATCACTGATCGACTGCCTTCTGCATGCCCCCTATTGAGCCTGCAAGCAGAGCATGTGCCCTTGACCAGAATCGAACTTGGGACCCTTCAGTCCACAGGCAGATGCTCTATCCACTGAGCAAAACTGCTAAGGCAAGAACAGCCTATCCTTTTAATCATGGTATTATTACATTTAGAGGAAGTACACATCAGATGAAGAAGATGACCACAAAGGGAACAGGTGTTCAGTTCACTAAGGCATTGTTGGCGTTATGTCCAGCTGTAGCTGGACAAGAGGCACACTCTTGGTAGATGGGAGTGTTCTGGTTGCTATAAGAGTTTGCTGTTCAAGGGAATATAGTCAATGATATTGGAATAACTATGTATGATGTCAGATGGCCACTAGATTTATTAGGGTGATCACTGCATAATTTAAATAAATGTGTATGTTGTATACCTGAAAATAATACTCTATATCAACTGTAATTAATTTTTTTAATTAAAAAATATAAAAAAAAATTTTCTTCTCCTGAAGGGCTGGAATATTTTGACAGGCCTTGAAAGTATTCAGATCTCTTTACTCACAAAGGTAGATAAGGTAGAAGAGCTTGCTTAGCCTTTATTCCAACGTCCTAATGGAAAGACTGCAAGTGAGAACTGCATTTCTCACGGCCTCTCCTGCGGCTGGAGTTCCAGATGCAGCTTTTAAAATGCCTGTCTCCCGCATCTGTGAGTCACCGGAATCAGAAGCAGGGCTGAACAGAGCAAAGGTGGCTGTGCGAGCTGCTATGTCGCTGATGTGGACCAGCAGGATCAGCACAGGTCTGGAACTCCCATTTCCCGAGCTCCCAAAAAGCAACTAGCTAGAGTAACGTCTTCTTGATTCCCCGGACACCTATAAGACAGGTGGCCAGTGTTTCTCTGGAAATCACTAGGCCTAGACTAGAACTCAAAAGTGAAAATGAAAATTGCAGCCATGCAGCCAAGAGCCAGGAGCCAGGGAGGATCCGATCGAGGCAGGTAAGAAGTAACAAGGAATGGGGTGGCTGAGAACCTTTACTTCAATCATGGGTTGGTGTGCAGGACTCTAGGAGTATGAATGGCTGGCTAGAAGGGTGAAAATAAGTATATGGTCTGCACTATATTTCTTATATCGATAAAAGCTTTTCTTTTTCTTTTTTTAATAAGCTTTTAAAAAAATTTGATTTTTTTTCAGAGAAGAAAGGAGAGAGAGAGATACATGGATGAGAGAGAAACATCAATCAGCTGCCTCCTGCACACCCCCTACTGGAGATGTGCCGGTAACCAAGGATGTGCCGGTGACCTTGACCAGAATTGAACCGGGGACCCTTCAGCTTGCAGGCTGACGCTCTATCCACTGAGCCAAACTGGTTAGGGATGTACTGAATTTCTTATAAAAGCTTTTCTATTCTCAACTTGTATAACTCCTAGGGAACAGAACGCTAAGTGCCCCATCTATCTGGGCACAAGAGAGATGCTGCAGGAATGTGAGGATGGTGATATGAAAAAACATCACAGGATCCTCCTGCCTCTTCAGCTCTACAATTTCAGGCTTTCTGCAATGAGGCTCACAGCAGCAGTCCTCATCAGGCAGAGGTAACAAGGAAAGCAATATAAGGCACTTAAAATAAAGACTTCATCATACATGTGCTTAACGATACACATATGGTGCTGCAAGCAGGCCTGAGATGTTTTCTGCATCCTAAAATCAGGTGACATAAAATCAATAGCTCACTATGCTTCCGTCAGTTCGGTAAACATGGTGTAGTTAATGATCATGAAAACCAAGGCTAGCTAGGAAACAGGAGGGTTGTCTGGCAGTGCAAAAACTAATATACAGGGAGAAGCAAAAGGAGGTTTACATTTTTTCATATGGAAAACAATTACAACAAATTACAACAATTAATAAATAGTAATATAAAAATAAACTCCGTGTTTCACGTACTTACCGCTGTAAACCTACTTTTGCCCCACCCTGTTGTGTATTTTTTTTTGGCGTTATTTAAGATGTCTTTTTAACATAGGCCTGTCAGCACCCATTAGGACATGGAGTTCAACAGATGGGTCAGAATTTTATCTGTTATGAAAGTGCCCACCACCCATGTGTGTGGCACCGGTGCCCTTACTGGGGGGAAATGCGGATTATGTAACAATGGAGAAGTACTAAGGATCTTAACATATGAATCTGATCTTTATTCTTCCATGTGTCATATATTAACCAGTATTTGGTTTTCAGCCAAAACATGCTAAGTGTCTGAATGACAATGTAACTTTGTAGGTAAGTTTGGCCACCTTATAGTCTAGTTCAGTGGTTGGCAAACTCATATAGTCAACAGAGCCAAACATCAACAGTTACAACGATTGAACTTTCTTTTGAGAGCCGAATTTTTTAAACGTAAACTTCTTCTAATGCCACTTCTTCAAAATAGACTCGCCCAAGCCATGGTATTTTGTGGAAGAGCACACTCAGGGGGCCAAAGAGCCGCATGTGGCTTGTGAGTTTGCCGACCACGGGTCTAGTTAATCAAGGAGTGAAAGCTAGTATTTCTAAAAAGTGTCCAAACAATGTGTGTTCTGAGACCCCTTTGGTGACCTTCACAGGCACAGCCACCGCAAAAGAGAAATACCGCCCAGGACATGTGTGGAGAACTGTGCCTGTGATTCCCGTGTGTTGATGTGTTGTCTTAAGAATAAGAGACTTGCTTCTGTTTCTTCCCCCACCTACCTATAAGCTGAACTCCATTTTCCTCTTACACAATGAAGTTGGAAATGTGTTTATCTTTGAAAGTGGACATTTTTTCTTCTATGGTAGAACATTTACATCAATTAAACATGTAAAAGTCTGTATTTACAAAAAATAATCACCTCATTAATGATACTATTCAAAGTAAATGATACAAAATATAATGTTAAAGCTTCTATATATGATTATATTGTTTAGGATTGTACTTGTTCGATGTATTAAATGGGATGTGAACGCATGGTGAGAGTAGCACGTGCTTATTAAATGCTCACTTACATAGAGATGTATAAAGAAGAAAGCTTACCTGTGACTGCTGTGTCGGCACTTCCCCAGAGCCCCAGCCCCAGGCAAGTCAGGGTGGTGGACATCTGTCGGGCTGTGAACGTGATGGCTGCCAGGGAACCAAGCCTCCCTCCACTCCAGCCCCTGGGTAGTCCGCCCACTACCTCACATGGTGGCCATGACTTACTTTGGCTGATGGAACATTTGCAAACTCATGCAACCAGAGGCTTACAATATATATGCATTAAGGCTTGTCCTCTCTTGCCTCTTTTCAGAACTCTACAACTGCCATGATGGCACGCCCAGTGGAGGATGAGGGACAGCATGGAGCAAGATGAGCTGGCCCAGCTGAGCCCCACGAACCAATTGGCGTGGTGACTGCCGGACTAGCCCAGGGGAGCTGTCAGCTCGATCAGCTGAGCCAGCCCATAGCGGAGGATCCCCCTAGCTGACCTAGAGAACGATGAGAATTATAAAAGTGTTTCTGAAGCTACTACATTTTGAGGCAGTCCCTTATGCAGTAACTGATACAATGGCCTTTAAGAATTCCAGCTGGAGTTGTAGGGGAGTTGAAGTTTGGGCCATCCAAGGTCCTAAAAGTGGGTTACGTTGACAGCCTGTACAAAACTGCATAATGCTATTAAGTTGGGGCATTTGTGTGATCTTAGGTTGTGTGTGTGTGTGTGTGTGTGTGTGTGTGTGTGTTTAAGAGGTAAAATAAACTGAAAAAAGAAAAAAGAAAACTTACCCCAGACCCCCATAAATACTGCAAAGACTAGGGTTCCAAAACTGTCAAAGATGCACAATTTCTGGAAAATACAATAATGACATATAAATTAATCCTGTTCTCCACTCATTAGAATTCATCAAATAGTCAATGCTTTGTGTGTGTGTGTGTATACAGTCTGAATTTCTTTGTAAAGCTGACACCTTATTCAACAATCACAATAATATGCACTAAATCCTTATAGATGGGGTTTCCCACTCTTTTGGAAGCAAACAGCCTTTGCTGTGTTTACAAGTGTGTTTTGCGATGGAATCTTTCCATCTCATGATCAGGAAAATAGGAGGGCTGCTAACACTCCACTCCGTGTAAAGCCTCTCTCAGACTTCTGAATAATGGCCTCATCTATGAAAAACAGGAACAGGAAGTAGTATGGTCCTAAGAATACAACGAACTCCACGAAACTTTTAGACTACGATTTGCATCTTATCATCATCCCGCCCTGGTCAGAGGATAGGTTCCTGAATTCCTGCGTGTCTTGATAAGAGAAGTACAAGGGGGCTATTCTGAGATGGCTCTCCCCCAGAAGAGTTCTGCTTCCTCACACCCAGGGAAGGCCTTTCTACCAGCACTGACGGAGGCTCCCAGCAGAACAAGGGTACACGGGCTTTTGCTGACATTACAAAGGGTACAGTGCCCATTACAGAGAGAATCAGTGACACATCTGCGCAAAGGAGGCTCTGTTCACAAGTTCTGCCACGCTTCATCTTTTTGCTACTATATAAATAGCCTATCTCCCTCTATAAATTCCTGGAAAAATCGTTCCGTTAGTTACTCATTTCTCATGAGTGAGCTTTTTTTTTTTCTTTCTTTTTTTTCCCCCCCAGCTCCTAAAAATATCTGTAAGGTTAATGGAAATAGTGGCAAACATATATAATACCAACTTCAGGGTAGATAAAAATAAAAGCAAAGACAACAGGACAGAAAAAAAAAGAAAAAGCGCCAGGTTAAAAAGAAAACAAAACAAATTTAAAAAGCCAGATTTTTCAAATGCTGAAGAACGTGCCAAGCTGCTTCTGAGGAAAACTCATCTTTGTTTGAGGTAACTTCTTGGGTTGCCCTTTCTATTGGTGTAAAGTAGGTCAACTTTCATCCCTGTTGAAACATTAGTTATGTTATTTTCATAAAAGATTAGCCACCTAACCCTCTTCTCGGACATCCATTTTCCAAAGCAGATGCCCTTCAGGCACCCATACACACCCTGCTCAGAAAGCACAATCCCAAGCGGCTGCCGTCTATGCCTCTCAAACACTCTCCCCTCCCCGCACAGGAAGACAATGGACAGGCGAGGGAAGGCCCTGCGAGCAAAGCTCTCCACCTGTTCCTCTCGTCTGGGGGTGCCATGCACCACACCTTTCAAACATTTTAGCTTTGGCTCTTATGGAACCACTCCTCTGAGTTGTTTCTGAATGCTAACTCTTATCTCTCACTGAAAATTGTAAGAAAAGTCTCATGAAAAATCACCCTGTGAGTTATCACACTGTTATCGACAATTCTGTCCAATGTTAATTCTTCTCTTTTAGGAATCAACACAAGCTTCTTTCTATCTGATGCCTCCCTGCTTACCCTGACACCTCTGCTCCATCCACACTATAAAGAAGGAAATCCTGTGAATTCTTTGCCCTGCTATGCTGAAAAACCCAATGGAAGCACATCTACCAGTGCGAGAGGGGAAAAAAAAAAGAGGAGGAGCAAGAAAAAACAGGTTTATTGCTGATGCCAAGATTGCACCAGTTGCCTGGTTTAAGACAAGGGATGCACCTTGCATGCCTATGACAGGTAGTTGATCCAAGCTACCATTTTTGCCACGTGAGTAAAAGTCAAGGACCCAAGAGAAAAGGAGGTGGCTGGCCTCTCTGATCTAGGTGGCCCACAGTGACATGGGAGCAGGAAGTAGGAGAGAAGGAAAGCAAGGGGCTTTTCTGGTGAGAAGCCTGGCTTAGCGTGCTTGGCAGGATGGTGCAGGGGGAAAGCCAGCTGTGCGAAGGGCAGCCCCATGTCTGCACACGGCTTCAGTCACAGGGAGCAGGAAATAAGAGAGCTGCGCATGCAGGCATGCTGATTTTAAGAGAGGAACCGATCAGAATTTAGAAAATGACCCTTTGTTATGCTTTCTTCCTGCAAAAGAATAAATTCAAAATTTTATAGCTTAATGTATTTCTAAGAACAAAGTATTATAATTTACCATGTTTCGCTTTTATCTTGCCAGCCAAAAGCTAAGGACTTGACTCTGCTCAATCACAAGAACAATGTTATTCCTGATTATTTTTATAACTGTTTCATTTCCCTGACCCTGGTTTTATATGCATATTTATATGTGTAGTTTGTTAATCCTTTTAGCATATATGTCAATTAGTGAATACTCCATTTCTCCCCCCCCCCCAAAAAAAAAAAGTAGAAAAAAATATATAAGTCAACGTATAAAGAAATAATTGAATAGAGGCCCTGGCCTGGTACTCAGATGATTAGAGCACTGTCCTGATACAACATGGTTGTGGGTTCAATCCCCGGTCAGGGCACAGACAAAACACAACCAATGAATGGACAAATGAGTGGGGCAACAAAGAGATGTTTCTCTTTCCCTTCCTCTTCCTCTCTCTCTAAAATCATGCAATAAAACATTATTAAAAAAAGAAATAATTGGATTAACCAACAAAAGGGAAAGCATAAAAAACTTTTTTAAAAACATATTTTTCATTTCATTTTTTATATATTTCCTTCCCTTTGTAAATCACTCTGACAAGGCTCAAGGGATTGTTCAGGAAACTGGAGTAGAATGACTCGTATTTTTTCCAAAACAAGGGGAAAAAATATGTGCACAGGGATATAGTTCCAAGTCATGTGTTTAAAACGGGTCAGAAGCAATGAGAAAAGAAATGGGGGTGGAGTGAGTGAGAGAGAATTCCTTAAAGAAAGTGGAGTTTACAGTTGCAATTTGCCTCTGGTATTAATTACTGTTGGCATCTGCTTTAAGTCCAGTGCCTGGGGTCACTCTAACTCCTGACCTTTGTGAGTGAACTTCACTGGCAGGCAACTTCACTTTTACCAGCTTCAAATCCTTTCCTTTGTGTCATCTCTGGCAGATATTTGTGGGCTAGCATTTGTGTTGATTTGCAGGGTGGGCAATGAAATCTATTCTAATTCATAAATTAAGCATAAAAACCCATGCGTTGACGATACCCTGCAATCATCTTAATTACGGGGTGGGACAGTTTTTCAAACACAGAGCTCAACTTGAGAGTGAAGTGCCTGGTACTACTGTCAGCTGGGGAGCCAGACTCCCAGTCAGTTCCCGGCTTTGCTAGTTAACAGGTGGGTAACCTTGAGCAAACTATTTAATTTCTCAGTTCCTCAGTGTTTTAATATGTAAAGTGGAGATAATACCTGCCCTGACTATCTCATAGGGTTACTGTGTGTGCCAAAAAGTGATAAATACAAGACTTTGCTAAGTATAAAATACAGTGGCATTGCTTCACTGGTAATATGTCAATGTTGTCAGGAAAACTCTCCAATGCAAGCGGGCCTGCTTTCTCGGGGGGGGGGGGGGGGGGGGGGGGGGGGGGGGAGGGAGAGAGGGGAGAGGGAGGATGCCATTTAATAAGCTCCCTCCAGGCTCACTGTTACCCTAAACCCCCTGGAGCTGAGGAGTCTTACAGCTCAAGATCATCTGCAGTTAGCCAGGGTGCCAGATGTGTTTTATGGGGATTTTTTGAGACAAAGTGAGTATCTGCTGTCATTTGTATACAAAACCTTTTTCATGCACATTTACAGATACAGTTGAAATATGACCATCAAAGTCTTTAAAATTCCAAACATTTTTCATTCACTTGAATTTAGGAAAATACTTGTAACAGTAACCATAATGGAAAGTATTCGTGAAATAAGCTCTGTCTGAGATTTCTGCTTTGATTGCCAGATATATCAAATAGTTTCAACCCCACAGTTCCTCCAGGATCCTCTAGATTATAGATGAGGCTTTTAATCTCAACTTATTTGCAAAAGAGAAATAAACATGTGTTTTATATTTACCTTTCAGAATGAAGGGTTAATTTAAAATTACCTTTCTGAATTCCTCCGAGGGGGGGGGGGAATTAATGTTTTGCTAAAATGATTAGAGGAAAAATTATCTTTCATTACTTGGAAATGTTTGGAATAACAAAAATTACCTGTGAGGACTCGCAAGTAATATTGAGCTTCCAGAATGGACAAAGCTTATCACACTGAGGACACATTATGATGTTGCCGCCAATATTAGGATCACAGACTTCTTTGCTAGAGAAAAGAGAAAATTTTAATGTTTAAAAAATTTAATGAATAGGACTGCCTTTCTAGTAGAATGATAAAATCCAACATCTATTCATATAAGAAAATATAAGACAAAACTAAATTCTTATAAAACTAGGACTGGTAATGTTTCTCTGTCTTTCCCTCTCTCTTCCACTCTCCCTAAAAATCAATGGAAAAACATCCTTGGGTGAGGATCAACAACAACAACAACAAAATAAAGTAAATCTTGGAAAGTCTATTCTTCTACGTAAGTAAGAGAACAATGGCAAAATTAGTCAAAATTAACCTCTGCAGAGCTCTGCAAATTAAACAAAAACAACAACTTAGTGGGCATTTATTTAAGGAAAAACAGCTAAATCTCTGTAAGAATATTGTCTATAACCACCATTCAAGAAATTTATAAAAATGTATCTCATCACTTTGAAAGTATAATTTTTAAAATGCCTTCTTTTTTCTTGGCTGGAGGTCTATACAAAACAATGGAGAGGCTAAAGACAAATGTAGGTAATAAGTGCCAACATTCAGCCTGTGGCCCTAAACGCTTTTCCAGTGAAGAGAAGTGAGGACTTCACAGGCCATCTGCAGCTTTCTGGCTAAGAAGCCCCGTGGGTACAGAACGCTCAGAACTCTGTTACACAGAACAGATCATGATGCCTACACATCAGGGCTGCCTGCCTGAGGAGCCAGCCTGGTATGTCCCAAGCTAGAAAAATTTGGTCTGCTCATAGCTGGTGTCCAGACATTTTGATCTGGTGGGAAGGTCAAAGGAAAATACTTGGTTTAGTGTTGCATGTCTCCTGAGAGTTGAGTTCACCAAAAGCAGAGGCATAACAACGCGATTCAGAACAGCGATGGTGCAATGCAGTGTTCTGGCTCCCGCATATTTCTCTCTAGACAGTACAGCTGGTACCTGCATTCCAACTTCAAGCACAAACTCATTCTTTATCACTTATTCTTTCCCCTAATTTTGTAAGGGCTAGTTTTTAAAAAGTTAAAAAAAAAAAAAGTATTGTTTACTTAAGTTTTTAGGCATGCATAAGAAATAATTTCTAAAAGCATAAAAACACCAATTTTTCCAGTTTCACCACTGAAACTTCAGAGTGACCAGAGCTGCTCTTGGCCACATCTGTAGGGCTAAGCAAAGCATTCCTCTGGAGGCCAGAAGTTCAAGGATGATCCTCCCTACATCCCTCTTTTCCTTTGCAAACAAAGCATTGTCTGAAAATATTGAAGTGTTTCCTGAGGATAATATTCCTGCCAGAAACTGGGCTGCATGATCTAAGAAAAAAATTTTTCCATTCCACTTATTAGACTCAGATCAAAAAAAGATGTATCGTCCGAAGCAGTCACTGTTTTTGCGGTAAGTCCCCTTTCACGAAAAATGTCTAAGACCCTGAAAATAATTTTATGTCTCACCAGCCTTCAGCGTGGTGACAAGGAACAAACAGGGGTTACCTCCACGTGCAGTTATTTCGATTCAGATATCCGTAGAGAAAGCAAGCCACGCCCACTATTGCTGCCAGGAAGAGCATCTGAGTGTAATAGCCCAGCCACGCAAAGTAGATTCCGATCTTCTCTCCATAATATTTCCTGAACAAAGACAGAGATTATTTTTAGAAGATACAAATAACCACTCCGCAGCTTTACCCAAATATTAATTTCCGATTTTAAAAAGAGGAGCCTTTGAGCTTAAACAATGGACTCAAAAAACACTTAAAACATACTCAGGCTCATAGCAGACCCCAACTTCCACTGTCAACCAAAAAGAATTTTACATTTCATGGAAGTACTTGGTTCCTGGTTAACCTGTGAAAGCAAAGTAAACTGGAATAGAGCCGAGGAAAGAAAAACGCTGAGAATGGAGCAGGGGGAGAGAGCACCACCGTTCTTTGTAAAGAGCAGCACACTGGACACGTTCTCCGAAAGGTGATCCTCAATCTGCATGAAACAAATGAACATGAACAACCCACTCACAGTTACCTGCCTTCACTTACCCAGGGAACTTCCTTGGAGCAAATGTAATATAAACCACAATTAATACATTACCCTTATGTATTGTACAGATCAATAGTAAAAGAGGTCAGTGCCCCACACTAAACTGTCAGGTCATGCATGTTAAAGAGTGCTGTGGCACACTGAAAACCACTGCCTTACCTGATAAGGTCCAAGGGCTGCTTTTTGTAGATGCTCCGAGGATGCGCCCACTCCCTGTACAGGAGGTACCGCTCGTTGGGGCAGGTGAAGTCCTCGGACGGGCAGCTGAAGTTGCACTGGGAAGCAGAATCAGACGGGTGAGCCACCCTGTGCTCACTGACATCTCTATTAAATGTGGTGCCAATACTCCTGTCATTGGTGAATAAGGGGCCCTTATTTGCTAACGCGGATGAAAATACCATGTCATTTTTAGTGACTCTCAACCGTGGGTATTACTGACTCCCTGAGGGCCTTTTGCCAATGTGGGTGGCAAGAAAATGCTGGGTTATTACAATCCTGAGGAACAAACACATCAGGCACTTGGTGGGAACCTCGGGGATGCTCACATCCTATGAGTGGGTCAGTCACAAACTATGGGAGTCTGGGGCACTCCAGCGCCAAAGGGAGTGGGCTGGGCCATCAGGAGAATACCTGATGGCCCAGCCCACTCCCCAGACACCCAGGGTCTTGGCTGGGCGGTGACAGGATTGGTTCTAAAACCCAGACTTTTTTTCCCCCCAATTCAACAGTTATTCAGGGACATGGAGAACGCAAATAACAAAGAGGCTTGATAGCAAGTTATATACACTTAGCTTACTCAAGAAACAGAACTCCCTGCCTCTGCTTAAATTCACTCACTCTTCTTCCCATCTGGCTGGCTTTCCTTCCTCCTGCAACTGGATTATCACCCTGACCTCCACCCACCTCTCTCCATCTGAGATCACTCCTGAGCCTGGGTAAGGCCCCTTTGCAATGGCAAGAAGCTTCAAAGGAAAAAAAAAACCTGGGCATGGCCAGTTGCTAAATGAATACTAGAGACTTTTGGCATCCCCGGTTAAATTCATGAGAGCTCTCTGCAAGTGTCCCCCCCACTCTCACCTCCCCCAAGTTCAGGTCATGCTACAATTGCTAATCTTGCTGGGGCACAAATATAAAACGCATGGCTGGTCTTCTGTGCTGGGTCTCTTAGCCAGGAAGCTCAGCATCTGCCTCTCTGCCCTCCATGTACACATGGGTCCTAGTCTCTCTCATTACCTTATATGGTGCATTTCAATGCTGACCTCATCCTCAAATACACGTACTACACAGTAGCAACAATCCATCTCAGTGTTTGCTTTCTTTGGTCAGAGAGATTCAGATAAACTGATGGTGAATGCGACAAAGTAATAGTATCATAGAAGATAGGATTTCATTTATTTCAGTAGCAGAACTTATTTGAGGAGCTTAGATATAATATCCTTGCATTTATGAAATCGCTAAGAGTCTGAGCAGTCACATTTAAAAAAAATTCATTTCATGTGAGATGCTATCGGCTAGAGAAGTGCTCTTGGATTTGAGAAGCTGCTGTCACATCAGAACGTAGTCCTTAAAAAAATGTCAGCCCTCTGCCGTATGCCGTTATGACAAGAACCCTGACAGAGGCCTTTCTGAAAGCCCGTGGTATTCCAGGGCATGACATGGAATGGTATTTCAGAGGAGAGAAAAGCCCATGTTACAGAAAACGATAAATGAAAAGTTCTAACATGTGTTTTTGCTTACAAAGAACTAATACTCCTCTGGTTGATAACATCTGTCAGAAATTATGAAAATAGCTAATACACATATAGTACTTATTATGTGCCAGGAACTGTTCTAACATTTAACACGGACTAATCCTCACAAACAACTCTGGGGTAGATAGTATTATTATTCCCATTTTATTGATGAAGAAATTGAGGAAAGGAGAGACTAAATGACTTGCTCAAGGTCATCCAGCTAGAAAATGGTGGAGCAGGCATTCTGGCCCCCGAGTCCATGCTCTTAACTACTAACCTATTATACAATGCTGATCACATTAACTATGGGAGAGCTACTGCTTGCTTGTTGTCCATTCATCCCTTCGTTCACTCATCATTCTCTCACTCATTTAACCTGAGCGCCCTCTCTATACTTAGGATTTAGCAATGAACAATGCAACTCGGTTCCTGTCCTGGATATGCTTGTAATCTTTCCATGTATCATCTTCATTTTACTGAGAAAGAAATTTCAGTAAGATTGAGAAGATTAGCCCTTCCCTACTAACACTGCAGGACACATTAGGTATTTTATTCCATTTTTGCTATTTGACTTACATCGTGGAGAGGGAATGCTGCCTTGTAGATCCCGGAGCTCACAAGTTTGTTAATTCCAAACTTTTTAACGTTGTCGCTTACTTGATACTTGATTCGAGAGAGAATGAAGTAAACCTAAAAAAGATTCAGAACAGTGTGTGTGGTTTATACAGTGTAACTAACCAATCACGGTTCACGATCATAATGGGAATCGGTAGGCATACTTCTTCTCTTTGGTGTGTAGCAGTTTCTGAACACAAAACTCAGACAACCAACCAACCCAACCACTAATTATTCAACAGCAGGATGCAAATCACCCCAAGATAGCTAGTAAACCAGGTTTGCACTTACAATGCGGCTTCTGGTGGCGGGGGTAAAGAAGGTCTCTTTGTCACGAATATAAAAATCATCCATCCGGCTCCTCTCGAAGGGGGCAGTGAAAAACTCCTGCTCTGGCTTGATGATGCTCTCATCCACCTGGAGGACTTTGCCAAGCCAGTTGAAGTTATCGAAGGCCGAAGAGCGGGTCTTCAGATCATTGGGTTTCAGAGGCAGTTTGATGTGCATCAACTCCGCATATGTACACAACACCTCCCACGGGGCATGGATCTTCACAAACACCAGCCTGTCATCCAAGACCTGTATTGGGAGAATAAAAACACAATCCAGGAAACCAAGCACATAGCTTTTTCGTAGGTTGCTGGTAGCTAGTACACATGTGTACACGAGCATACACACATAGACATTAGTAAAAGTGAAGATATGCCACAAGGTAGATTTGCAAACCACTGTAAACTTTTTACCTTAAAGGTAATTTCTTGGTTTGAGATACTGGGAAAGTAATTAAAATTCTTATCATAGTTCTTTCATAAAATTCCTAATATTTTAAATGAAGAAAAATTAATTTGTCCATCGCTCTATCCAAATTAGTGAATAAAAATGAAAACACTAGAATATTCATTGCAATGTTGTTATAGTAACAATTTTTTAATTTCTTAAAGCTAGGACTGTTTAATTTATTACATATCTGTCCAATATCATGTTATGGGGTCATTATAAAGGATGTTTATTGATATAGAAATGCATTTACTATATATTAAAGGGAAAAAAGTTAATTAAATCCCTGTGATATAATAATTTCTTTTTTTGGAAGAGAAAAATGTATATATTTGAGCAAAAAGTTTAGAAGAACTATAAGGTTATTTATGAATAATTAAGGTACAAATGATTTTTATTTTCACTATTCCTAATCTTTTTTTTTTTAATACTATTACTTGTATAATAATTAAAAAAATCTTTAAAAAGATTCTTAAAAGAAAAAAACAATCACTTCTACCTGTATTTACTGTTCCATGCATTCACTGCTGGCTTCGATCAGAACCACACACCCTATAATGCAGATTCTGACGGACTCCCCTCCCGGCCTACAAGTGAGGCGTGGCTGGGGTTGTTGCAAACGCCATGCCAGCACTCCAAGTAACACGCATGTTCCCAAGATCCAGGGTCCGCCACGGGTTGGAAAGGGCCTGCCACTTACCGATCTGGTTGCTTCTAGGTGCAGGCCATCATGGATGAGGTTAGATTCATACGCTCGTCTCTTTCTCTGTCAAAAGAAACAGGAAAATACGTTAGGCCTTTAGTTTTACCGAGGCCAGAAAAGAAAGGTGTTGGGTTTTTTGTTTTGTTTTGTTTTTAAAGAAAATATGAACAACAAACCAGTCTGAACCTGCTGCAGAGACATTTGCTTAAAATGGCACAGAAGCGAAGAAGGTGCTCTGGCCGTGGTGACCTGAGGATGCTGGGTCCCTCAGACAGTGTGCTGTGGAGTGCACTTGGTTATTCTCTCAGCATTCTGGAAAGCCCTGGTTGTCCCCATGGGTTTTCAGCCATTAGAGGTACATAAAAATCTCTAACTTGGGCACAATTCCAAGGACTTTTTTGAGTGGCTTATAAGAGGTTTTGCACAAAAATGAAGGGTCATTTTTAGCACTATTCACTGATGTCATTTACCAGTTATAGCCCAGATCTGATACTCTAATATTTTTAAATTTTTATTTCCATACTGAACATTCAAATGGCTCCATTTTAGACATATGTATTTCATCTCTGCATGCCTTGACCAAATTCAATAAAACACAGAAAACTTTGGCAAAACAAAGGAATTTTTCTCTCTGCCAAGACCAAAATGTTTTTGAAGCTATAAAAAATATCTAAGTCTATAAAAATAGGGAACTAATTAATTGGTAATATTTGTCCATGTAATGTGGCCATTAGAAAAGACACAGAATATAGCACTGTGTTTAATGACACTGAATTCCATATCTGGCGAGGGTTTTACCAAACTGTGTCCTGGGTCGTAAGGGAAGTGTGTGAAGGTAGAGACCTTTTAGAAGAATGCTTTTGAGGAGGAAGCACTGTACTGCGTTATGAAAAGGAGAAAAATGAGTGGACATGGGTGAAGCACACAAGCTCTGAAAACAGACGGTGTTCAGATTCAGCTCTCTGGCCCTCGGCAGGAAACAAACTCCTGTTGCCCCAGTGTTCTCGTCTGTAGAATGAAGAACACCTTCCCAGTTTCCTTCTGAGGTTCTCGTGAAGATCCTATGATTTAAACCACATAAACTAGAATTTCCATCTCTAGGAATCACAGGAGGTAAATTGAAAAATCTAGATTAAAAATTTTATTTTAAACTTTAGCTGCTAAGATAGAGAATTGCTGAGCCAGGCTGAGGTAACGGGTGGGGGTGGGGGGTGGAAATGGGAGTGGGGGAATGGTAGCCAGGCCGCTTTGCCCAGGGAGCACATTCATGGTTTGCTGCTGTGAGTGGGCAGAGCTGCTGTGTACACACACACCCAGACAGTGCCTCAAACATGCAGCACTGAATGAATGTAATGCAGATGCTGTAGGAAAAGGACTGACAGCTCAAAGGTGAAAAGAACACACCTGGCATTTGGCTAAATGTGAGTCCAAGGTGGAATCCCTAGCATTTTATGCAATTCTCAGCAACAGAACATTGCTTTATTTTCATGTATTTAATAAGTGGCTCTATAGCACCTACAACATGCCAGACACTGTATCAGAGCTTTGCAAATGTAATAGATTTCACTGCCTGTTACAGTTTGAACCTACAATAGTCACTCAGAGAAAAACCAGCAAGTACTGCAGCTCCCTTACACATAAACAAACAACTTGCCCAGAAACGCCCTGTCAGATGAATGAGACCTTGAAGTGCAGCTTTTCCATGGGGCTCCCAGCAAGGGACTGTCTCCTCTGCCAGCCTCCCACCCCACCCTCTCTGCGATTCTCCCTGCCAAGACTTTCAGCCCCCTCTGCCCATGCCCCGCCATATCTCCAGCCTCCACTTGGGAAGCGGGTTCAGGCTCATCCTACTTCATACTGAGGCCGAGTTTCTTCACTCTGGATCCTAATTCTTTCAGTTTGATTCTGGCATGGGAGCCACTCCCCATTCCCATTTCTGCCTCTGCTATTGCGTCAATGCATTTTTGGTCCTGTGGTGAATGTTCAGCATAGCTGGCCCAGGGCATATGCCCAAAACATGACGGTTGAAAGAACATACTCAACGGCACTTATTAATTCATTCTACAAGCATTTTCTGAGAGCATCCTAAGAGATTCAAAGAATTTAGAGTAGTCTGCCACAGAGGAACTACAGAGAAGCCGTGCAGCGGCCAGTCTCCTGATGCAGGGAGACTAAAACATGTCTGCGTGTGTTTCAGGGCACTGTGACGGACAGCTGTCATTCTCTACGGCCACCTGACGCTTCAGCTCCTGCCAGAGCCCATGTCCACGACAGCAGATGGAAACTCAGACACGCGGGTCCTTGTCTCCTGTGGAGCTCAGTTACTGACACACGAGTGAGGCCTTATTGATGGGTCCACCTCAGAGGCTAGCAACGCAAAGACATCGGGGCCAAGCAGAAACTACTATGGGTGGTAGGTTGGGAGAGCAAATGCCAGTTCTGCGGTGCCAGCCATCGCTCAGGTCCTGGTGGCCACGCGTTTTCTCCCATCCTGGCTCTGCTGTTGGATTTGGGACACTGTTTCTGGCTGCCTAGTCTCCAGGCTTGTCTGCCCGACCCTTCAGGATCCGTGAGCTCTCTAAAACTCCCTGCCTGCTTAAATGTGAGCTCATTTCTGTCATTGCCAGAGAGAATCCTGACAGAGAAGCCACGGACTATTAACACTTGTCAGCCTCAAACCCACATCTGTCCAGTGAAGGTGACAGGTGTCCTGAGCAGACGGCACACTCTTGACTTCCTCTCCTTCCGAGGAGACGACTCACCCTGAGCCTGTGCAAGGGGCCACCCACACCGCCTCACTAGCAGGTCAGAAGCAGGATCCATGACTGTCTTCTGTGTCCTCAACACCAGTCAGGAATAATTTCAATTAGGATGTGAAGCTCAGACCCCAGGACTTTAGCTCTGGCTGACAAAGGTCCTTATAGTTAGAAGGGTAGACAAACCAGCCAGAGTGGCTTCTTCTTTGGCTTTAATGGGTATGTTAATTAAGTGCTACACTTAACAATGTGAATGGGCGTTATTGGAAATTCACGGGTCCTATTGCCAGCCCACCATGATGCTCAGTCATCTCCTTCCCAGCCTCTCTCCTCCCAGGGAGCTGCTCCAGACTTTCAAGGTGTTCCTCAGTCTCCACACCTCTAACTCCCAGACCAAGAATCGGTTCATTCCCACGTGGCCTCCGTACTGTGCACCCAAATGACATCGTAACCGATGCTACCACTTTGCTAGAACTCCAGGACGGGGATCTTAATGCGGAGCCACTCAGCCCTCCCTCTTCTGCCTCTTCCCGACCACCTCGGTCTTGGACTGTCTTCTTTGCTATGTGATGGCTGAACAGCCTGTTCACTCTCCGAAGGATATAAACACATCTTTGTATCTCCCCTCTTTTGCCCCATTTCTGTGGGTATTAAGGGAAGTCACCGAGAAGAGTATATAGCACATTTCATTTTAATGGCATAACATTCTCTCAGACAGATGAACTTTTTACTTATTAATCAATCTCAAATTGTTGGATAGGAAGGTTGTTTCAAATTTTTCATTTCTATGAAAATCCTTGTAGAATAATATTGTGCATCTATTATTACTTCCTCAGGATAAGGTCCTAGAAGCAGAATTATTAATCAGAGAATGTATGCAGTTTTAAGTTCTTTAATATGCAGTGCCATACTGCCCTTCAGAAAGGCTAAACAAATTTACCACGTTTATTTTTTACCTGGTTCTTTACAAAGAATTCCTGATTTCTCTAAAGATAATTGGTAGATCTTGAAGCTGGTTGATAATGCCCTCTCTTTTAGTGCCAACTATGAATACTTAAACAGCTGAGTCAAGGATAGGACATTTTAATTTGTCTAATCATGTTAATATATCACCTTGGTGTTACTTTAGTAAGATAGTTATGTTGATGGCCCAGTTCTTGAGTTCCTTGCAGGAAAGATTTCACAGTAGGAGTCCAGGTGATTTTTAAAGTATGCTTGTTAAAAGCTGGGGACAGTGAAGCAAAAAGGCGGGCTTACGATAGAAGAGGCAAGATCGTAGCAACAGGAGTGTACCCAGGTGTGGCTGCCTTGGCCCTTTGGGAAGAAAGTCACAGGCAAAAGAAGTGAGCCCGCGGGGCTGCATGGACTCAGGAAAGAAGTTAAGGAGGCAAAAGAAGTGCCCTTCGAGAGAGAAAGCAAAGACACTGCCGCAGGGTCCCCTCCAGTGTTTTTGTTTTCTTTCTCCAGTGCCAACAGCTCTTATTTTCCTTTAGCAAGGCAATTCACAAAGAACCAGTGGAATATTTGAAAAACTGAACAAACTGGTTTTCTTGGTTTGAGTAAATGAGCATATGTGCTATATTTGTCAAACAGGCGTATATCAGGAAAAGAGTGCTTACTTAAGAAAAGATTGACTAGGTCTGTTTAATATAAACTCATCAGCTTTACTTTTCTGTAGAATTTGCACTTGGATAAGTAACAGTGTTCTTGACATTTTTAAAAAATTAGGTTAGAGCTGTCTTCCACGTTAAAAATGGAAGAAAATTAATACTGTATATTGCCTGACATAGCCATTGCTCAATTGAATATTTGTTGAGTAAATGAATAGCTGAGGCCACACAATCTTTCACTAAGAATTATCTATGTGCCTTGTTGAAGAATCTTAGTTATAAGAACCTATACTATGTTCTACAGTCTATGATCTGTATTTGGCAGAACAAAATGATTAAACTAGACTCACAGGCTCTGAGAAAAGCCCTATTGTACATTAAACTATGCTGTAAATTTTTCTTTCTCTAGCAGAGCAAATTTATCGGCATTGCAACCTGGATCGATCGATCTATCTATCTATCTATCTATCTATCTATCTATCTATCTATCTCCCCTCCCTCCCTCTCTCCCTCCATCCCTCTCTCCCTCTCTCCCTCCCACCCTCCCTCCTTCCCTCCCTTTCTTCCCCTACTTCTAGTAAAGCCAAAGTGACAATTTTTGAGGAGCTACATGTATCACAAAAAGATGCATGTGATTCTATCACTGTTGTGCAGGACTGTACCAGGGGCTCAAAGTAAAAAAAGACAAGAGTACCCA